TAATCAAAGTATGTTTTTCAAATTTTTATGGAATATTTTATATCAGTAAGTTTACTTTTAAAATGCTTTTATTTTTCATTATATTCTCTTTATTAATAAGACACAAGTGAAAGAAAAACATTTTGAAGGTGTGTTGATAAAATTACAATTCATACACAGTTGTCGTCCAACATAGACATGTACACACACACACACACACACATAAATACAAATATATAATATAAATAAATACACCATAATAGAAGGATGACAAAACACAAAACAATAAAATAAAAATGGACGTTTTTTGAAATAGGAAAAAAGAAAACAAAACTTTTTATTTTAATCTATATAGATACATATATATATATAAAGATTAAGAACGAATTTGCGTAAAATGATTCCGACAAAGAGACGGAAGACGAGCGATGTATATAATCGCTTAAAATTTTATTCTAATCACGAAATAAACTAATTTTTTATTATTTTTTCTTATTGTCTTTTGACTAGAATAGAACGATCAATAATAAATGAGATTATTTTCAATCTGCACTGTATCAAAGAGACTCATAGTAGATGTTCACGGAATGAGAACAGTTTATATGAAAAAGAAAAAGAAAGAAAAAAACGCTACACACAACAATAAGCAGCATAAAAAAAAACAATAACTAAATTGCAAGACGATGAGCAAGCTTTAAACGAATAGACTCAATAGTAGAAGACTCATCAGTAGTTGGTAGTGGAGAATTAGTGAAAGCTATATTCGATGTTGATGAAAGCGATGATGCTGACGAAGATGACTGTTGCTGTTGTTGTCGTTGTTGTTGTTGAGAAATATTTTGTTTAACATCTAAATAAAAAAATTTCTATTATTTATCTCGGAATATGTTAATCTCTAGTGATCATCATATGTCGAATAGCAATTAATGTTTTGTTCTCTAGAGAACAAGATAAAAATCACCGATAAGGAAAAAAAAAAAGAAAAAGAAAAATTATCATGGGAAATGTTTATAAGACAAAAAATTTTGTTTCTTACATGAAGAATTTGTATTAGCAAATAATGATGAAATAAATGGTATATTTGTACGATTTGTAGTTGTTGTTGTTGTTGTTGTTGTTGAAATATTATTTGTATTAATTGAACTATTTTCATTTGTTTGTTGTCGTTGTTTAATTAAACGATCTTTATTTGTTAAAAAAAGTGTTTGAATTTCTTCACATAACTTTTTAAAACGTCGAGCTTGTCCTTTAAAAAAAAACAACAAAATCAATAATCTAATATTTAGATTTTGTTTTCTTACCAGTTATAAGAGTAAATGTAACATAATAAGTATCAGGTAATGATAAATCATTAGATTTAACTGTACAAATTTCAACATGAAAACGTATATTACGTTGAAACATAGATGAACGATCAGGTCGTCGATATTCACATCGATATTGTGTACTTGATAAAACATTATGCACAAGATCAGGAGTCTTTAAAAATAAAAATAAAAGAATTTCAGTAAAAATATGAAAATTTAATATTTTACACATACAGATAAAAATGCATGAATAAGATCCGTTTTAATTGTTGATAATGGTCGATCTTTAACAACAATCATATGATGATCTTCTTGCATAGCATCAATAATATGATGAAATAAAGATTTTTTTGTTGCTTCAGGTGTTGTACCATATTGTGATGGTGAACTTGTTGGTGTTGAACTATCACTTTCAGCTACTACAAAAAAAAAAAAAAAAAGAAAAAGAAGAATTTTGAAGAAAAACAAAAGAAACTGATTAATTTACATAAAATTTTTGGTCGTCGATGAAATCTTGGTGTACCAACATTTTGAAAACTTTGTTTTAAATTAGTTAATTTATGTTTCCATTGATTACTATTTGATGATGATGGAATAATTGTATTAGAATTATTATTATTATTATTATTATTATTATTTGATGATGATGATGATGATGATAATTCTGTATTCATTGATTCAGATGTTGTTGAAAGTATTTGTTGTTGTTGATTTCGTCGTACTGTTGTACCATTATTAATTACATTCGAATCTTTATATGTTTGTTCATTAATATAATTTGATACAATCGATTGTGTTGATGGTTGTGTTGTAAGAATATTATCATTTTGTGAAACTGTTGATGTATTACGATGATGACGATGTATATGATGTTGTATTGTTGGTGGAGTTTGAATAGATGATTCAATAGGATTTTTACCAGTTGTAAATGCAGTTATTTTAGAAAAAACATCTTTTTTTGCTATTGTTGGTGATGAAGATGGACTAACAGATGGTGTATTATTAGCTGAAATTGTTTTATTACTAAAAAACAAAAAAAAAAGAATTTTTTTTTATTGGGTCTTTAACTGAATATACGAAAAAACAACAAAAAAAAAAGAAATCATTCTTTACCTTATATTTGAACAGAGTTGTCGTCGTGATACTAATGGTGAACCTTCAGTTAATTGTCCAATCATACTGGATCGATGTACAATAGGATTAGAACTTTGTCCAATAGTTACACCATTTGAACGTTGACGATCAATACGTTTTTGTGGAATATCCGCTACAAAATAAAAAAATACAAAAATTCTTTCTTTGTTTCTTTTTTTTTTTGATCCTAACGTGAACCAGAACGACTTCGTTGTTTTGTTTCATCAGGATCTTCATGACTTGGTTGTCGTAATTTACGATCAAGTAAAAGAAAATAAATAACTTTTTCTGTATTATGTCTACAAAAAGAAAAAAATTTATTAAATATTTTTTTTCTATTTTTATATTTACTTGGAATTTAATAATGCTTCAATTAAACGTTGTCGATCTTTAAAACAACCAAGTGATGCCATAGCTCCAAATACATCTGCATCAACATCTTCTTCTTTTGGAATGATTGTTGTCTACAAAAAAAAATACCAAAAATTTAATTTCAAAAATTTCTTTTCTTTTTTTTTGTACATACTTGAATAACTTGTACCATTGGTAATTCAAGTTCAAGTTCAGTTTTTGAACCTCTGAATAAAAAAAAAAAAAAAAAAGAAATAATATAACAATAATTATCAGTTTCATTAAAACTACTATATAGAACAGAACAATGAAACATGCAGATTTATGTTCTTTCTAATAAACAAGCAACAAAAAAAAAAAAAAAACGAACATCTATGATGAAGATGAATGATGATGATGATTTCTATTAACATTCTTTTGATTTAGTACATCACTTGAATGAACTGACGACAGAGATATACAATAATAATGGCGTATATACGCCGTTTACGTACTGTGTTACCCATGGATGTCGACTGACATCTTCTAACTGGAATAAGCATAGTAACGTAAAAAGAAATTTTTGTTATTTTGAAAAACAAAAAAAAAAAAAGAAATAAGACAACGAAATACATATTATGTAGTCAGCAAAAAGCATGAGTGCAAAATTACAAAAATGAAATTTGAAAATTTATTAAAATTTACCGTTAATCGTTTATTTGGATCAACTTCAATCATTCCACGTAATAATTGTTGACAATCCGCTGGTACAAAATGTGGAATATGAAAAATACCTTTTTTCACTTTTTCAAGTAATTGTCGAAGATTATCATCATCAAATGGTAATGCACCCTAATACAAAATAAAATACAATAAAAAAAACAATCTATTGATAAATACAAAAATTATTATTGTGATACAATTAGGAGAGGAAAAACAACAAAAGCTTTTTTTTCAACTTAAATTGATACATACCACAAGTAATGCATATAAAATAACACCACATGACCAAACATCAGCTTTTCGTCCATCATATTTTTCACCCTAGATTTAATTGAAGAAGAAATATCATATAAATTTTATGAATTATCATTATTTTGTTTTTTTTTTGTTTTACTTTAATCACTTCAGGACAAGCTGAAGAACAAAAAGAAATAATTTTAGAATTTTATTTTGGTTAATTTTTCTTATTCTTACCATAATGTGGTGAACCACAACTTGTTTCAAGAAAACCACCTTCAACTTGTAATGATGCCATACCAAAATCTGCAACACGAATATTCATTTTATCATCAAGTAATAAATTTTCGGGTCTAAAAAATAAATAAATAAACAGCAACAATAAAATAATTGCTTTTTGATTGATTTGTTTTTTCTTCTTACTTCAGATCACGATGACTAGAAAGACAAAAAAGAAAAAAGAACAATAAACGAAAACAACACGTTTTTTTTTATTTTACATACCAAACCATATGACTATGACAAAAATCAAGTGCAGATATAATTTGTCGAAAAAATTTTCTTGCTTCTTTTGGTGTTAAACGACTTTTTCTAACAAGATAATCGAAAAGTTCACCACCAGCAACATGTTCAAGAATAAGATATAAATATTTTCGACTTTCATATACATCATATAAACGTAATACATGTGGATGTTCAATTAATTTCATAATAGCTATTTCTCGTTCGACCTTTAAAAAAACAAATTAAATATTTTTTTTATATTTCAAATAAAAATTTTGTTTTTTTTGTATTTTTACTTTTAATAAAACTGATTCTGACAATGCTTCACGATTGACTATTTTAATAGCGACTTTTTCTCCTGTTACATAATGAATACCTAATTTGACAAGTCCTATATATAGAAAAAATAATTGTATTAGTTTAATAATCAATGAGACAAATCAAAACAAAAGGTCTATATACCTGTTTGACCTTTGCCTAATGTTTTCTGTAGAATATATGGTCCAACATATTGTGATGTACGAGGTGCTGCCGTAGCAGATGTCTTAGCATTGAATGACATTGCTTGAAATAAAAAAGAATAATGAGTTTCGATCGATTGATCATAAGCAAATTAACAAACTTACATATTGATTGAATGAAGCAAAAAAAAAAGAAAGAAAGACCTATCAGCTATAAAACATTATTTTCTTTAAACCACCAATAATCAACTCATATATAATAAATGTCATCAAAACATATTTTCCTTAATCATTCAAACAAGATAATAATTTACTTGTGGAATTCATGGTAAATAATGGATATATAGTCAACCATAATTATTATATATTTTATATAAATGCATAAAACAGTTAAAACAATGCATATAGAAAAATTCATTAAACTTTTTATTAATAAATTTTTCTTTCTACTATAAAAATCATTTCAATATAAAAAAGTAAATTATTCAATTTAGATTTTTTTCGTAGTAAATATTTGCACCCTAAATGACCTCTTTAACGATGTTAGTTTGATTTTTGCTAAGCACCGAAATTCTTTCCGACATTCACATTCTGTTGTCTCTCTTCTTTCTCTTGTTCGTTCTTTCGATACACACTTACTTCTTTGCCATATAGGTCACCGATTCACCGTTTTTTTTTTTCTATTTCTTAACCTACCAATTGGTAACATCGTATATTTACACACTCATTTAGTTACACCAACAAATCATCATTAGTCACAGTAAGTAACAAAAAAAAAAGGAACTGAACTGATGAAAAACTTTATATTTATTCGCTTTTAAAAATGAAAAAACAAAGTCTCTTATGATTATTTTACCGGATTCTGATCAGTTACCTTTGTCTTTTTTTTTTTAATTTTATTAGATGCAATCCTGGAATTTATGACAAAATATTTTCCATTAAAAAAACATGGTGCTCGATTTTGAATACGGTATTAATACAGGAAATCGTTTCCTTGATTTAGTTGATCATGATGAAGATCCTGATGAATTTATTGCTGGTCAAATGCAATCAGAAGAAAAACCAAAAAAATCTTCAAAAGAAACTAAATCAATAATAAAAAAAAAAACAACAACACCAACACCAACAACAGCTAATACGACTACAACGACAAGATCTATTAGTAATAATGTAACAAAAACAAATAAAGAAAATTTAACTATTAAATCAACAAATACTGATCAACGACGACAACAACAACAATCAAATATTTTAAGTGATAATAATCATCAACAAACACGTATTGATAGTGGTCGAGGTAATAGAGATTTTCCTTGATTATGATTTATACATTTATTTATTTAATTGTTAAGGTGGTCGTGGTTATTCAAGAAGAGGTGGTAGTGCTGGTCAAGATCGACCACCATATGAAGGTGGTAATCGTGGTAATGGTCAACAACGTTCACAACGTTTTCATAAATATGAACCACAAGAAAATAGAAATGAAATAAGTGGTTTTGAACAAAGTAGTTCAAATTGGGATAATGTACAAGGAAATGATAATCAAACTTTTGGTAATTTTCGTGGTCGTGGTCGAGGTGGACCACGACGTGGAAATTTTGAAAGAGGTCGAGGTGGTGGTCGAGGTCGCGGTCGTGGTGGACGTGGTAATTTTAATAATCGAAATTTTGAAGAAGGTTCACAAGAACAACAAATACAAGAAAATAGTGGAATGCAACAAACTATTGAGTATGTGAATATTAAAATTTAAATTTACATTTGACAAAAAAAAAAAATCAATTTCGATATTTTCTATAGATCACATTTTGACAATACACCTACTCAATCAATTAAAACTGTTGGTCAAGAATTAGATACAGATGTATCGGGACAAGAACTACGAATGGAACCAGAACATGTACGACGTGGTGGTCGTGGTCCTTATCGTTCTCGAGTATTTCGTAATAATCGTAATTATGCTGATGATCGTCAAAATAATTATGAACGTGAAAGTGGCGAAGGTGGTTATGAGACTTTTCGACATAATCGTCGTCAACATGATCGTCAACCACGTTCATATGTTTCGTAAGTTCAAAAAAATAAAAATCATTTTTTATGAAATATGTTTTATTTTAATAGAGGTATTAAACCTATTGAAAAAAGAGATGGTGAAGGTGCATTTAATTGGGGTAATCAAATTGAAAATCCTGTAGATGATCAAATACCGACGTAAGATTTCTTATTATTGATGTGTGTAAATAAAAAGAAAAAAAATTTTTTTTGTTTTTGTTTTTAGTGATATACCTGACACAACAGAACAAACAACAACAACAGCAACATCAAAAGGTTGGGCACAACAAGTTGATGAAGCTGAAAAACAAATGACATTGGATGAATATAAAAAACAATTAGTAGCTAAAAAACAAGCTCAACAAGAAAAAATTCCACAATTTAATAGACGTATTGCAAATGAAGGTGTAGATCCAAAAGAATGGCAAAAATATGAACAAAAATATCGTAAGAAAAATGATGATGAAGAATCTAATGATGAAGAAATTGAAGAAGCTAGTGGTGGTGAAGGTAAAATTTAAATGATAAAAAAAAAAAAAAAAAAAAAAAAAAAACAAAAAAATAAATTATTTAGAAAATGAAAGTGAAGAAGAAGTTGAAGAAGAACAAATTAGTGGAAAGAAAAAAGTTATCACAATTCCACTTCGTTTTAAACCAATTGAAATTTCACGTGGTTCAAGAGGTGGACAACGTCGTGGCACTGGTCGTTATCAGGATCGACCATATCGAGATGATCAACGAAGATGTAATATACATACATATATATAATTTCAATAGATAAAATTTTCTTTTCTTTTCAGCTAAGTCACCAAGTCAACAACAATTATCATTATCTCAACAGGCCGGTGAACATCAAAATGATGAACAACCAAGATCATATCATGGTGGTTCAAGTTAGTAGTTTTCTAATAATTAGAATGCATCAGTAGGAATAGCGAAGATATTTTAATTCCTCATAAAAAGCTTTCTTTCTATATAGGCTGATAATAAAAACGATGCTCTATTACATTATTCTTCAACTATTTTCTCATTCTCCTCTAATCCGTAGCTGTCTATACAAAAAATAATGGCAACAGAACAAAAACAAATAGCTCATGCGCTTCGTTTTTAATCTCTTATTGACCTTCACGAAACTATCTAAGTCATCTGTCAATTATCCTAAGAGAAGAAACACGAATAGAGCATAATAATTCATCATAAATAACTCTTGTTTGAATGTCCATTGAAATGAACGCTTTAATGTAAAAAGCAAAAAAGTTTCCTTATTCATCGAAAATAGAAATTTAACTTAACTTCATTTTTTTCAACTTTCTTGAGAATATACGAATAAACTACAGATATACAGGTTTACTTAAAAGTCACCGGCCAATTAACAGCAATTTTCGCTGTTGAAAAGAGGAGACTTTGAAGACATTGCACCATACAAAAAAAAACATAATATTCATAATTTTTTTGGAAGGTTTTTGAAAAATTAAGAGTAAACAAACTGATGTACTCAAAATTTCAAATGTTATGAGAACTTTGAAAATCTCGTTTTTTTAAAACCTTTCTAAAAATATTTTTAAATATTATGATATTAATTGAACAATGATATAATAGTACATCATTTTTACTATAAGTTCATATAGAGAAAAAGTTTCTTTAAGTATTTTTATAAGGAATTAAAGTACGTCCGATACTACTTTTTTTTAATACTCTAAGCACATATATAAATATAAATTTATTAGGACCAGGATCTGGTCGTGGAGAATTTCGTCGAGTATATAGAAATTCTGCACGTGGTGGTGGTCATAATCGATCAAATGCTGATCCAAATACACCTGATCTTGCCAATGCCGTTGATTTTCCTACTCTTCCAAAACAATAAAAATTTAACATAATGAATTCTATTTGTTGCACAAATCATTCGAACAATTGAGTTTTCTCTGGTATTATTCAACTAGAAACAAAAAAAAAAAGCGTGTCGCACATAATCTAGAACAGTTTTGTTTGAGTTGTGTTATTTGTTTTGTTTTTTTTCTCTTATGTGTGTGATGTTTGAGAGCCTGGTGAATGAATCGATTCGTATATATATATAGATATATATATATAGAAAAAAGAAACAAACACACTGCCTTCTTTTTTTTCTTGCTTGTTTGTTAAGATACCAATCTAAGATTTCTTTTTTTTTTTTTTTTTGGTGTCATAGGCATTTCACTTTTTGCTGTTGTTATTATTATTATTATTATTGTTGTATTGCACTTGTGCAAATGCGACTTCTTTATTGTTTGTTGTTTTCTCTTTTATTGTTGCGACAAAAAAAAAACACATATACATGCATTGTTGCTACTAATGTAGCAAATTTTTGTTTGTTCTTTTCTTTTCTTTTGTTTTTATACGGTTTCGTTTGTCTTGGCACATATTATAAATCATTAACTCATGCATATGAAAACTAAGACAGAGTTTCCTTTTTTTTTTTTCTTTTTCTTTATATTCAATTGTTTTCTCCCTCCATGTTCATTACAGATGTATGTCCCATTTTTTCGTTTGTTTGCTATTACTGTGTGTGCGTGTTTTTGTTTGTTGCTGCTGCTCTTTTCTTTTCTTTTCTTTTTTTTTTTTTTTTAATTAAATATAACAAAAACCAGATATGATTATATTTGATAAGCCAGTGATGATTTGAAATACCAATCAAGCTCAACAGTCAAGAATAAGATAATGTTGAGAAGGTATTAAAACTGAGGCTGAAATAATATGATGCTGTTTTTTTAAGAGTCTTATGAATAATTTATTCTATTGAAAATGTTTGTTTTTATTTCTTTAGCTAAATTATAATCGTTTGATCTTAAATTCAGGTTGAGGAAGAGTTTGTGTTAATTAATTTTTCTGAAAGAGATTGTTTTTTTGTTTATTTTACTAACATATTTGAATAGAGAACATTTATAGGCTAATAGATCATTGAACTGCATTTATGCATGAGTGGAAAGAACATACGTGTGCAAAAAAAAATTTTGTGACCTATAAAGAAAAGTAACGCCTTTAATAACTAAATCCAGAAATGCTGTTCTTGACATTTCTGTTTCGTGAAAGATAATTCAATATTGTCTTCTTTGTTTTTTTTTGTCAATTTCTCAGTAATTCTTTACATTTTTAATATGATGTATAGGTTTCTTTGACAAAGGATCATTGTTAATAAACTATCCGAACATCTAGGAATAAGTATATTTCCTTTTCTGACCATTTCAACTGATAATTGTCGTCATGCTCAACATCATCACTAGTGATTAGAATCCGTCGGGTTTGTTCCGAATCCAAAAAAAAAACTTCGGAAAGAAGTATCTCGTATCTTCGTTGTGACTATCCGATTCCGATGAGAAAATTTCATTGAAAGTACAATTTGACCTGATGAATTCTACTAGTGAACATTCAATTTGTAAATCAATGACTTTTTCTTATTATCAATTAAATTGCTATTGGTAAACGATAGCTACTATTTATAAGTAAATATTCAAACAAGAAAGATATAAGAAAATACGTCAGAATAATCTGAAAATAGATTCAAGATAAGATAAATGTCACATGTAATAAAAAACGAATTATCACTTCTATTTTTTAATAGTTGTCACCTTTTAAAAACTAGGGTTAATTTGTTTTATTGTATTTAAAAAAATACTAAAAGTGCAAAAAGTATCAAAATTTCAATTTATTGTTTTTTCTCGTCTGAATGATTTGAGAATAAATTATCTTAATAAACTATTCTTGTTACGAGAATCATCATTTTATTAAGTTTTAGATTTTTAGCTATTTCAAGTCTACTATCAACATGTGTCATGAGTACAATAAAGTATTTGGATGTTATTCTCAAACAGACCAATATTTACATAGACTCAAACTAATGTATTCATGACATATATTAATAGTAGCCTTGAAATAGCTAAAAATTTCTGAAGGATAGCCTTGATATATCATAAGCTGAATATCTATTAAAGTTATTACCATTTATCTAAAATAACTTCTGAAAAGATTTCGAGATTTTCCATGTATAAAAATAAATATTAATATGTAATCAATTGATTTATATGTCAAAATAAACAGCAAAAGTTTGTTGATTATTCATCAAAAAGAAAATATGACAACAAAAAGTATTCTCATTGAATAGTTTCTCTGTAAAAGAAAAAACAAGTCAAATCTTTAATGTTTTGTTTCGAATATATATATATATACTAGTTTCTGATATTCTTTCTCAAAGTTAAATTAGTGCAAATGGAACAGGGCATTGTGTTTTTATTTTTCAGTGTATGAGTACAAAAAAACAATCATACTTAGATATGAATAATTAAAAACAAAAGGCAAGAGACATGACAAAATATAATAATTGAAACACAATATTTTAGCACTTATAAACAAAATTATGTATATTGATTTACACCAAGACCTTTTCCTTCACATAAAGTAATTCAATTTTTTTGATATCATATATTAAACATAAATCAAATAAACTTTCCTATCAATATTTCGGTTAAGTCACTAGTCATCATAATCTTTTTAGAATACTTGATATCACAATATACAAAGAGATAATCATTTTATTTTTACCATTTAAGTCGATGAAATAATAAATATTACAATTTTGATTATCACTGGATTCATTCGATTTATAGTTGCTAAGAAAAAAAGGTACTGTAAACGATATAAAACTTCGTCACTGTTTTTCGTAGGCTCATAAAACGATAAACGTTTACTAGCGGAAAAACGAATTTATGGATTATGGCAAAATAATTTAATAATATGCCATTTCCGACAGTCGGAATGATTGCACCTTCGGGAAGTGAATAATAAATCAAATAACTTTGAACATATAGCGACATCTATCACAGAGTTTCGAATATACTCGATTGAGAATTCTTCTTGTTTTTGTACATCAAGTAATTAGTTTTCATTTTGAGATAAGTTTATTTTGTATTCATGTTTAATATAAGATTACATTCAATTTTTTTTTCTTTATATTGGTTAATCATTTGTTCTTTCTTCTTCATCAATGTTCTTTGTATTACGGACAATGACTATCTAATAGATGAGCATTCTCATACAACACCGTTCAATACCGGTTCATATATTAATGAACATAACTCTATTTGTGATTGCGTATATTTTCGTAAAAAATACCTTTCGATATAATGTCATATTAAAAAGATAGAAAAATATTTTACTTAAGTAATACAAAATTTCTTAAATCAATTTTATTATTTTATTTGTTTTTTTTTTAGATCTGTAATCTAGTCATTTTTTTTTGTTTTGTTGTATTTATTTCATTTGTGTTTTTGGTTCTTTTTTTTGTTATCAAATGGATGCTCAATTTGAGCGTCGTCTTCTTCTATCAATGAATGGTCGAAATTCTCTATCATCATATACAAGTCCAATACAATCACCGATAAAAACAAGTGATCGATACATTCCACTTCGATCTTCTCTATCAGCATCAAATCTTCATTATCCATTAAATACAACATCACCATTAACATCACCAATTAAAAAATATAAATATGAATTTAATGAAATAGGTCTTAGTTCAGGTATAACAGCAAGTGAACCAGATTTACTTGTTTATGAACAATTATTACAAAATACATTATTAAATACAAATATTGATTCAATATTAAAAATATCTGATATACAAAATACAAATAATGATAATTATAATAAAACAGTAATAACACCAAAAAAATCTTTAATTAGTAAAGAAAATTCATCAATATTTCGTTATTCAGAACGTCAAAATAATAATCAATATAAAACAAATTTAATTACAAAACAACATTTTAATCGTTCACCTATATCAAATGCATCAATACATTTACTTTATTCACCAAAACAAAAACGTCGTCATATAGCTGAATTACCATATAAAGTTTTAGATGCACCTGATTTACAAGATGATTTTTATTTAAATTTACTTGATTGGTCATCATCAAATATTCTTAGTGTTGCTTTAGGATCATGTGTTTATTTACATAATGCTCAAACAAATAATGTTCATTTGTTATGTGATCTTACACATACACAATTACCCACATCAAATAATAATCGTTTGAATATAATCGGATCCGATTTAGTAACATCAGTTAATTGGTCAGATTGGTCAAATATATTAGCTGTTGGTAAGAAAACTTTTTGATGTGTTTTATTAGAAACAAAAACAAAAAAAATCTTTACACATACATAAAACATCATGACATCTGGCCTCGGATCAGCTCCTATATTCACTCTTTCCTTTTTCATATACAATAGGATATAAGCTATTCTTCCGCAGTCATGACTATCATATATTGAGAGAGAAATTTTAATTGCACGCTCAACAAGAAACTATAAACGGACCAAAAAAATTTTGTTTTTTATGAAAACAGCTTATTTTTCGAATGGGAGAACGATAGAAATCTTCAAAAATTTTCGAAAAAAAAAAACGAGATGCCGAGTAAAAATTTTGTGTCGTTTATGAAAGATCAAATGATGAACTATCTTCCTATGCATTTATTTTAATTTCAACTATTCTGAGGAAAAAATGACTTTTTTTTTTTTGAAGGGTGGAAGCTTTAAGAGAATCTTTATTACAGAGTGTTCTGTAAGTCTTGAGACACGACAAAATTAATTTATATATCAACAAAGAGTAATATCTTCTCTTAGAATCTTTATTTTTCATTTTGTACACAACATTTTCATATATTTTATCTATTTCAATCTAATTACTAAGTACATAGCTTCGTTGATCATGTAACTAATAGTGGATTGTAATGACTGTCACTTTGATCGTTTTCGAAAAATTTATTATTATTACAAGAGAAGATATTATTTTATTTAAAGATTAATACGAATATTCAAACTTTGTATAAAATAAAAAAAACCATTGTGATTTAGGTACTCAACGTGGTCATGTACATATCTATGATATAACAACACGAAAACGTTTACAATCAATCTGTAAACATACAAATCGTGTTGGTGTACTTGCTTGGAATGATTGGTCATTATGTTCGGGTTCACGTGATCGATCAATATTAGAACATGATATACGTCAACAATCAATAACTCATCATTTTTATGGTCATACACAAGAAGTTTGTGGTCTTAAATGGTCACCCGATAAATCTATACTTGCTAGTGGTGGAAATGATAATCATTTATTTTTATGGTCAAAAAGTCAATCATGTCAACCATTACATTCATTTAATGATCATCTAGCTGCTGTTAAAGCAATAGCATGGTCACCACATCAACATGGTCTATTAGCATCTGGTGGTGGTGCAGCTGATCGACATATACGTTTTCGTTCATCATTAACATGTCAAACATCAAGTATATATGATACAGGTTCTCAAGTATGTCAATTAATATGGTCAAAAAATTCTTTAAATGAACTTGCATCAACACATGGTGTAACACAAAATCATATTATTATTTGGAAATATCCAACAATGGAACCATTAGCTAAATTAGTTGGTCATCAACAACGTGTTTTATATTTATCAATGAGTCCAGATGGAGAATCAATTGTAACAGGTTCTGGTGATGAAACACTTCGATTTTGGAATGTATTTGCTAAAGCAAAATGTACAAGAAATTTAGATTCAAAATTAAATGGACTCTATCAAATGCGATAATATTTTCATTTGTGACTTTGTTTATCATTTCTCTTAATTTATTGTTGTAATAAGCATTATGTCTTGAGACGCCATATTGTCAGATAATGATTTTTCCGTTGTTTTTTTTTGTTTTGTCGATAAACGGAAGTCTCATGCATGTCTGTGTTTTTTTTTGGTTATTGTTTCCGCTTTGGTAAATAAATTGTTTGTTTGTGCATGTAGTCAAATTTATAAAATAATAATAATAATAATCATATCTGATATAAGTCAGATATGCGAATAAATAAGTCTATTCAGATTATATTTAGAAAAGTTTATTTCACGTATACTTTAAAAAAAAATCCTATACAGAAAGAACTAGGGAAGTATGAACACGTACTCGTATGCGTACGCCTGATGCAAATAGTTGGCATTTGTATACATATTTCTGATGCAAACGTTTGGTATTCATATTCAAGTATGATATTTTGTGATATACAGGAGAAAAATCTGTACTCGCTTAACTCTAGCTGATATGAGTTTCTCTAATAGCTAGATCTTTGAAACTTTCATAATCATACGGATTTTAGGTATAGTACTCTCTTGCTATTTACTTTTTGTATTTGTTTCGAACAGATCGTTGATTATTTTTCTACGTATTTGAGAACAATACTAATCTAATATAAAATAATATTTGATAAATAAATAACAGGAAAAAAAACCTATTTTTCTCACAACCATTATATTGATTTTTTTGTTTCACATAGAAAAAAAAAAGTGCGCTTATATGTATATAAGAATATAATTATTGAGTTCTGTCTTCGAAGCTCGTTTAGATTTATAATATTCCAGGTAAATCATATTCCTATTTATAAATTCTTGTCATTGAATATAAGCTGCAATGAATAACTAAAATATTTCGACATGAGAAATAATAATGACTATTTCTTCTTTGTCTTATAAAACACACACACACACCCGTACGTAATCAATGGTGAATGGATGAAGAAAAAAAAAAAAATTATTTCTTGCTTTTGTGTTTTTTTTTGTCTCTCTCGATGTATAATCAAGACTAACAATAAAAAAAAATGATTAAGATAACATAGAATAGATGCTTACACATGTGTAGATAAAAAAAAATGAAAGAAATGCATCAATTGTCTTAATGTAAAAGTCACTGTTTTTTTTTACAACGGAAAAAAATAACAACAAATCAATTGTCTACATAGTGGCTATTAATGTATCGTAATGTGAGAGTAAAAGCAAAAGCCAATAACGAGAGAAACAAAAAAAGAAAGAAGAAGATAAGATTCGTTTTCTTTCTCTTTATCACGTAAGTAGTACAGGTATATACAAGAAAAAAGAAAAAGGTATAGAATATAATAATTGAATAATAGTCGATAATGTAAAGATTTTAAATTTATACTAAAATTTTCGATAATATTTGTGATTTGTAATTCATTTAATTATTGTTGAATTGAGTTTTTATCTTCTAAAGTTGAAGAAAAGAAAAAATGATCAAGTTTTTCTTTTTTTTTTTTTTTCGATAGTAATAAAACAAATGATTTATGGTATTATAAAAATCTTTAAGAGAATAAATCAACATCTAGTTGAAATTTGTATAGAGTATTTATTGATATCTTTCAATTAATCAAGAGATAATATATCATGTTCTTTTTTTACAATATTATTCTGATTCTATGAAAAATATAAATCTCTAAACACATTCAAATAAGAGAAAATTTCACTGATAGATAATTTAATAAATGGTTTGTTGGCAACAAATTCTTCTCTTTTTCAAAAAACAAAATTTGTCCTCGATATTATATCTCTCATTCACATTACCTCACTGTTATATATATAGATCCAACATTGATAGACGAATAACAATATTTTGACATTTATTTTATTTTAATACAAAGATCGTCATATGGATGTAATATCAAGCATTTAAAATAGATGTTTTTAAAGACTAACAAAGCTTTTTATATGCAACGACAATATCACGAACGTCTATTAAACTAATAAACTTTATCTAACTAAATATTTTAGAATAGACTATTATTTTGAATATTAATTGGTAAGTTTTAATCAATATGATTGTTGTCATTTGTTTTTTTTTTGTTTTAAAAATCTCATGATAGATAAAATGAAGGTTATTTTTTATTTATCATCGATTGTTATAAATTAGGCGTATTTTAGGATATAAAACATTTTTTTTAACGTACCTATTTATTGTCCTAGTATAAATGATAAGACATTTTAATAGAATGCAATCTTCGAAAATTTTATTATCATCAATATAGATCTTTACAATTCAAAAAAAAAAGAATATTCTACTATTTTTAGACAATAACAAAAAAAAACGATGTCGACTATTTTATTATTATCATCATTATTTAATTCTACAACAACTCAAGAAAATTTGTTCATATCTACTACAACAACAACATCAAATAAACCAACAGATGCTTATGATCATCAAGGTGCTGCAATTTATATAGCTATTATTCTTGTTTGGTATTCAACTGGTTTAGCTATGATGCTTTTTCTTCAAGTACGTCCACGTGCATTACAACAACAATATTTATATGATTCATCAAGAAAAGATCGTCTTGAAAAAATTACAACAAATCCATTTAAAAAAAAATATCGTAATATTGATGCTGATAATACAACAAAACAAATATTAAATGAATTAAAAGATCCTCAACGACGACTACGTTTATGGAAAATATATTATGCATCATCAGAAAAACAAAATGAACCTGATCCACAATATTATCAAACAATTACATCTGATAATGCAACTATTAATAGAATTAATAGAAAATTAGCTGATATACATCGAATGGATTCAACTAATGATAAAAATTTATTAATATCATCAAATATTACTTCAACAAATGATAATCGTTCATTAATATCTACATTTGATTCAACAAAATTTTTTCCTAAACGTTTTCCTACATTACGTCGTCCACCTACTACTAATACAACAACTAATATTCGACCATTATTTATTCGAGCAAAATCTCAAATAGATGAACCATTATCTAATACTACTATTGAAATGAAACCTCGTATTGATAGACAACAATTATTATCATCAACTAATTATTCTGAACGAAATACTACACCTTCGGATAGATTTACTATCGAAAAAGTATCTGATAATAATACAATGCAAACTATTGTTAATAAAAATACATTTGAATAGAATGATTTTATTATCTATCGAATATATGTTTAATTTTAAATATTAACAAAAAAAATTTCAATCATCATTTCTCTAGTCAATATTCAATGATGATTAAACGATATCTATTTGAAACAAAATAAAATAATTCTTTTGATTGTTTGTTTTTTTATTATTCTTTGTATAGATAGATTTCATTGCTTTATATTAATATATAAAACTAAATCAATAAATAAAAATATTATATATATATTCAAAAAAATTTTCATGTTTAATAAACTTGCCAAACGCTTGAAATATTCTCTATAACAAAAATAACAATCGAATATTTCCTAATCATTATTCTACTATGGTATACTAATATATGCCGCTACAGATCAAACAATCAGACATATGATCTTATATTATAAGATTCTTGAATAGTTAAATAAGGTTTCCTATAATCTTACATATATGATATCTTACAAAGTGACAAGATCTTTCAAAAAATCGTATAATACACGCTAGTGTAAGGTTTCCATCTGGTTGTTTGACTGGGAGGTGCGAACAAGCGTGTAATATGGAATATACTAAATTCAAAGATATGATTTATGATAGAAACATATATAATGCAAAATTAAAGATTATCTACATACAATATGAATGACATATGAGAAACATTGTTCTTCTATAAAAACAAAAAAAGAAAACTACAGTGACAGGAAACACAATTTGGAGTGTTTTATCCAATGTGGCAGTGCCCTTCCCGAAGATCATCTTGGCTCTCTTGGAATTTCCTGTGATGATATCACATACTAGGTACTTGTGCTTCTAAAAATAGATATTCGTCCTTCTAGAGTTTAAAATCCTCTCTCCAGAAGAGAAAATCCAAATGAAAATACTTAATAAAGAGTATAGATAATGTTCATATGTATGTTAAATGATAACTTTTGTTTTTATATTTATTATAATTTTCATTGTATTGATTAATAAAAATTATCAATACATTTTGAAATCTTCATAAATAACTTAAACGAATTAAATATAATATTCTAACACATAAAAAAAAAAAAGAAGAGACGATCTTAATGCTTTCAATCCCTATTATTATTATTATTATTATTATTATTATTATTTAAAATGTCGTAAAAAGAATTAAATCTTATTTGATTATACAAAAAAAATAAAAAAATTCAGGAAATAATGCAATTGACAGAATTGCTCTTATGAAGTGAAAGTAATCCTACTCATATACAACATTGAAGTAGAAAAAGAGGAAATTATCACCTTTCAATCAAAGTCTCTTTTTTTTTTGCTAAAAGTAATTTATATATACGTATATATATATATATATATATATATTTATTTATTAATAACTATTTCAATAAAAAAACTTCTATATTTTACTTTTTTTTTTTCTTCTTCTTAAAGCCATTTTCACATCTTATCATATATAAAAAATTTCCGGTTTCAAGTGTCGAATACTTCAACTTCTATAATGAAGCATCATTTGGAATTATAATCAGTAAAAAAAAAGGAATCATTTTCAATGCATACAAATCTTTTTTTTGTTAATTTTAATGCAAAGCACGAATAAGAAAATTAAGATAAAAGACAATTAATAGTGTGCAATATTTGACAGGAGCACGTTCGACTAAATACATTCGAGCACAAAAATCGTGTTGACAACGTCGACCGAGAACAACAATAATAGCCACATTCAGTGAACAAGAATGAAAAAGTCATCAGATCGTTACCCATTAATAATTCTTTCTTCTACTGAACTCTATTCATATGCCATAAAAAGAAAAACGTTCTGCAAAGTAATGAAAGCAAGCAATAAGAGTAGAAAGAAAAAGCCTCAGGAAATACTATTGATTTAACAATGTTCATTCAAATGGTAACGTCAATGACGATGGCATTGACAGAAAAAAGAAGAAAACAACAAAAACTAGACGAAGAGACAATTCACTAACTCTTAATATAAAAGAAAAAAAAAATATCTATATATTTATATTTACAAGATTAATTCAAATTTATCTTTCTTCTTTTTTCTTTCTTTTTTAGATTAATATCAACAAATATGATAAAGTCTTTATTATTAACCTTAATCATAATTTATTATTTTAATAAATACAAATTTTTATTAGCAGATGATCATTTATATAAACATTATTCAAGACGTACAGTTAGTCAAATTAATTATGAAAATGAAACTTTAACTGATAGTGATGATGATAGCAATGTATGTCATTTATCTGTAAAATGTCCAAGTGTATCAAGATTATGTAAGTAAATCTATGAGTGTTTTGTGATAATTCTCTTTTTTTCTTTTTACTCATAGCTTCATTCGATCGAGATAATCGTAATCGTCGTTTTACAGTTGATACTTTCTTAGCAATGCATGGTCCTCCAGGACCACCAGGTTTACCAGGTCCTCGAGGTAATTCTGGACCACGTGGCGCTGCTGGACCTCAAGGTAAATATTCATTTTTATTTTTAATTTTGGTGAATAATTGAAAGATAAAAAAAAAAAAACAAATGAATCAATTTATTCTATTTAGGACCAGTTGGTCGATCAAAAGAATCAGTACCTATTATTGCTTTTGTTGCTTATCTTCAAAAAATGTTATCAGTTGAATCTAATCGATCAGAAACAATCGTTTTTGAAAATGCTGACATCAATGAAGGAAATGGTTATAATCGAACAACTGGTATATTTACTGCTGTTTATCGAGGCGTCTATAAATTTAGTATGACAATTATGGCACAAATGGATTCAATTGTAAGTTGATTTGAATTTCTATATTTATTCGTCTTTTTTTTCACATAGGCTACTGTACGTATTGTTCATAATGAAAATAATGTTCTTGGAATGATACGATGTGATTGTCGACGTCGTTTTTCACATGTACGTGGTAATGTTTATGCTGAATTAGAACCTAATGATCAAGTTATGGTTGAAGCACTTGGTGATCCAAATAATCCGGGACAATCGGCACCTCGTAATAATATATATGGATATACATATACACATTTTAGTGGTGTACTTTTATTTTTAACAAATAGTTGAGATACTTTTATTTTATTTTATTTTATTTTTTTTTTCTAAATCATAAGTCTTCGTAGAGATAGATTTTCGTTCGTTTTTATTTTTTTGTTTTAGTCGAGCAAAAAGAAAAAAGTTAAATATCTTGCGTTTTTTTGGATTATTATTATTCGTACGCATGATCTATATTAATTAATTGAAAATTACTTTTTTGCACGAACAGTTTATTGTAGAAATTGTTTGGAAAAAAAAACCATATATATATATATAAGATCAAGGACATATTTGAAATTAACGTGCATGATTTATTAGTATTATCAGACATTGGAATTTTTTTTTTTTCTTATTAAATAAACACATGATATTTCATGCTGAGTAAAAACAGAAAAAAGGAAACTAATAATGATTTTTTTTTAAATTAGTTTTCCAATTCAATTTCTTCTTTTTTCTTTGTATGTGTGTGTGTGTGTATTATGATTCTAAAATAAAAGCAAAATGTCAATTGAACTTAGTCTTTTTTTTTTTATCTCATTAGGGGATTGTCTTAGAGTAAAAGCAAGAAGAAAAGACATGATAATGTCGCGATTTTTCATTCTTTATTTGTCTGTTTTTGTTGTGCATATATTATATATGTGAATCTCTGTTGTCGTTGTTGTCATCATCCTATATCTAATTCAATTGGACTAAAATGAGTGTCATTTCTCTTGAGAAGAAGAAGAGAACAAAAATATTTATGTTCTTATTCTCATATTCTTTCTTTAGCAAATACTGATAATATTTCGATGTTAACATGAAAAGAAATGTAAATTGAACAAAGATATTTTTTGGCTTATTCAAAATAATATAAACAAATAAATAAAGAAATAAATAAATAAAAACAAAATATATATATATGAAAATTTGGTGAGTTCAATTGATTATAAGTTGTTATTTTATATCATATTGAAAAACTTGTTTACTTATTTCATATTTTACGCTTCATTTTTATCATTTTCTCGTTTCATATTTTGTGCGTATATGATATAATGTGTTGTTGATAAGAAAGATCAAGACAAGGATTTAACAATATTGAGCGTCAATGTAATTGATGTGTCTCGCTTTCCGATTGATTTGTGTTTCCGAGAAATGCAGTTCTTTTTTTTTTTTTTTTATTCTATTCTCTTGATCACTGAATTTTACATGATGATGTCAACGATAAGAAAAAAAAGATGCTTAATGGATTTTTGGGCATCTCGCTGCATGCATACACATGAGTATATGTCCGCTTTTTTTTTTTTTTTATTATTATTCTTCTTTGATCCGATAGTGGTTGATTGAAACCCAAACAAACAAAAAAAGAAGAGAAAGTACATCTAAAGAGGACGAGTCTATCTTTTATAAAAAAAAAAAAAAAAAAAAAAAAAAAAAGAAACCCTATTGTGCTCTTGATGTTGTCACCATCAATTTACTGAACGTGCGAAGTTTGAAATGTTTTCTCTTCTGCCTCTTAATCTATGTATTGCCGATGGGAAAATGTTGGTCGTAATAGTCGTAAGTGCATTAACGTATCTATATATATATGCATACACATAAATAGTGTATACAATATCGATGTTAGGATGGTCACGCGATCACACAACCAACAGATTGATTCGTTAAGGTAGCATTTCCGTTTTTTCTCTTTTTTCTTCTATGTCTGCGCGCACTTGAATCAATGAGGTAGACTAGAAAAATATATTTGGATAGATACTTAACGAATCTAATTGCTCTACTCTCTAGATTTTTTCTTCTATATAAATATATATATAGAGAGAGACATATTTACTAATGAACAATATTATTTAACTTAACTTATAGAAAAGAAAAAAAAACCAGAAAGGTTATGGAAATCATAATTAGTTGGGTCAAGATTTTTTTTATGTTTTATTTTGGTTAAACAATAAATTTATTATAAATTATTATTATTATTATTATTATTTTTTTGTTTTTGTAATTTTAAATGTTCAATACGATAGATGCGGTATTGTTCATATTTCGTCATATTTTATTTTTTTTTATTTATTAATTTAATAACATCAAAACAAATACCATTAATTGGACTTTTTACATCTGATAATCATAATAATCGTTCATCAACATTTATTATTGATTATGCATTAAATCATTTAAAAACAGTACAAAATTTAACAACAGAACTTTTTATACAACATAGTGAACAAGATATTCCATGTGATATGGCTATTGGTACGAAAATGGTTTTTGATATGATTAGTCGAAGACCAAGACCATTGGCTATATTTAGTGGTTCTTGTCAAACAGTAGCATCAGCTATTGCTGAAACAGCTGGAATATATGATATGACTTTTGTATGATATGAATTTTTTTTTTCATTTCAATATTTAGGTTTTTTTTTTTTTTTTTGTTTAAATAGATTATTTATTCTGAAACAAGTTCGCTTTTTACAGCTAGAGAAAAATATCCATCATTAATTCGAACAGTACCTGGTGATTCTCAACATAATATAGGTAGATAACAAACAAAATATATCATATTTTTGTTTTGTTTTTTTTTGCTTTTTACAATATAGCACGAAAACTTTTATTAAAAAAATATAATTGGCGACGTTTTGGAATATTATATCAATATGAAAGACAATATACAATGGTAAGAGAATTTTCATAGAAATATTTTTATGTATATATATATATATATATTAATATTAGCCTGTAACACGATTTAATGATCTTTTACAAGATGATATTGAATGGGAAAATGCTTTATCAAAAGGTATTTCATTTAATGATCTTGATGAAACTCAAGGTAATCGAACACGAAATTCATTAAAAGATGCATTTGATGAAATACAGGTATGAACTTTTTTCTTCTATATGCATTTTCAAATATCATAGAGAAGAAGAAGAGAATAGAAACGAAGCAGATTTACAAAAAAAAAAAAAGGAAACTTATCTGGAATTTGCATGCAAATATATATATAAGCTTCTACTTTCTTTTCCTTTCAATTCAATATTATAATAGAAGCATCAATGAATCTATAATTGGACAATATCTATTATATCTTTATGATAAAAAAGAAAAAAGATAAAATACTTCGAGAAAAAAGGAAATCCGATGCTTCATTGATGACAATAGTCGATACAATTTTTTTTTTCAATCAACTTAGATCTTTATTAGATTCCTATAGATCATTAGAAAAAAAAAATGAATGTACTTAATTAGTATTATATATAGAATAGCGAATGAAAAAATAGTTGATCTTAGATATTTCTTATTTATTTACATATGATTGATTATAAATGAAAAAATAATTTGATTTAAATGAACATCTATTTAACGAAAAGACTTTCATCTTTTTGTTTTTATTTGATTGACTTGTTGAAACTATAAATGTGTAGAAAGCTCTCAAATATACTTGATTGTTCCCATAGGTACATTTTGAATAATATACAAAAAACTCAATCAACATAGAGGACAATTTATTTTACATTGAAAAAACTCTATGAATCGCTCATTTCTACTACTAATCAATATAGATAATTTATTATCGAATAAAACATTAATCTTTTGTAATTATCCTTGAATCAAAAATTGAATATAAACAAATCAAAGAATCAATCTATATTCATTTTGTTGAAATGATTTTCAATGCTAAATGTTCTTATATATAAAAATCCTTAGAGAATTGAATTAAATCAAATATAATAGAAGAATAAGATTTCATAACTTAATTTATAATAATTTCTAATGTCCTATATATATCATTGAGATAATTTTACAATATAATACATGATTAGATTTCTAATGAGAATTATTTTGTCTATCTAGAGAAATAATATTCGTATTATTCTGGGAAATTTTAATTCAACTATGGCTATTCGAATATTTTGTGAAGTAAATTAATTAAATAATTAAAAAAAAAAAAAAAAGAAAACAAAAATATCAATTTAGGCATTTCGTTATAATTTATATGGTTCACGTTTTCAATGGATTATTGTTGGTTATTATGAATCGGAATGGTGGTTAAAAAATTCAGGTCCTTGTAATACATCAGAAATTTTACAAGCACTTAATGGTACATTACAAACACGTGTAGCTGAATTTGGTTATAATATGAATTCTCGGACAATGGCTGATTTAGTTTGTTATCTGTTTCTTTTTTTTTGTTTTGAAATATTTTAATTTAATTGATAAATTTTTTTAGACAGCAGCACAATTTCAATTTGATTTAAAATATCTAACAAATTTTTCTTATCAATCAAATTCATATTTTATTGGTTATAAATTTGATGCAATTTTAATTTTAACATTTGCTTTTGAAAAATTAGAACAAACATTATTAAAAAAAAATTATTCAACTAATTTTTCTATTGATTCAATATGGCGTCAAACATATTGGCGTATTGAATTATTAAATATAATAAAAAATCTTGATATACAAGGTGTTACAGGACGTATACATTTTAATAATGGTGATCGTATTGGTGAAATTGTAATTGAACAAATTTTAGGTATTATATAATGTTATATAAAAAATTTTTTTCGTTCGACTTGTGACATATTGAAAATAGATTTTAGTATCTCATAGACGCAAATCTAAAATTGTTGATATTATAAAATTATTTGTTGCATTACCAACAAATCAATCAACATATATTCTTTTACCTGCTAAAAATGAAAGAAATATTACATGGCATGGTAAGATTTAAAGAAAAATTCTTTTTTTTTTTTTTTGTTTAACTTTTTTGTTTTTGATAAAAACAATAAGGTCATGGACCTCCAAATGATCGTATTAAACGTATTGAACGTGATCAAAGAATTTCTATATTAACATATACAATAATGGCAACAATTAGTGGAACAGGAATATTTTTAGCAATATGTTTTTTTGTTTTTAATATTGTTTTTCGTACACATAGGTAAATAATACGAGTTGTTTTATGTGTGTTTTGAAATAATTATTTTTGTTTTTTTTTTTTTGATAAGATTTATTCGAATGTCAAGTCCACAAATAAATAATTTAATTATAGCTGGTTGTATTCTTTCATATATTAGTGTTCTTTTAATGGGTATTGATTCAACATTACTTGGTAAAAGAAGTTCAGAATCAACTATGAATTTTATTTGTGCAGTAAGAATTTTATTTTTCTCGATTGATATTTATTTTAAATAAAAAAATGTTTTTTTTTTTTTTCTTTTTGTAAAGGCTCGTGTATGGACATTATCTATTGGTTTTACGATATCATTTGGAGCTATATTTAGTAAAACATGGCGTGTACATACAATATTTACTAATGTTAATGCATCAAAAAGAGTATGATAGATATATTATTTAATATAAAAGATATTGATTTTTTTTTGTTTGTTTGTTTGTTCTTATTTCTCTTAAGGCAGTTAAAGATTATCGTCTTTTTATATTTGTTGGAATACTTTTTGCTATTGATACAGTTTTATTAACTGCATGGCAAATAGTTGATCCATTAAAAATGTTTAAAAATATTAGTCAAAAACAGGTAAAGACAAAAAAAATAGATATGAAATATTTTTTTTTTCAATTTAAATGTATTATATAAAAATATAGACTCAAGATGAAGATATTGTTATTCTATGGATTTATGAAGAATGTCGATCAAATCGTCGATCGATTTGGATTACAATGCAATCGATATATAAAGGTGTACTTATGGTAAGAAAAAAATATTTCGAATAAAAAAAAAAATCTATATTCGATTTTTCAATAATAATTTCAAAATAGAAAACTAACATTTATACATTGACCTATATGATTCATGATAATCATCTATAAAATAATAGAAACAAAGAAAATGTCATCATTTTGTGATGATCAAAATTGATCTAATAAAAGTACGATTGGTTTTTTGTTGTTGTTGTTTTGGATATAGGAAAATTAAGATATACGATCCTTTAATCTTCAAAAATAATTTTTATCTATTTATATAATATTATTGAAGCAAAACTTTGAGATCAATGAGCGTTGTGAAGCGTGAAATAAAGACTCCCATGGGAAATCTCTAGTCATAATATCAACAAATTACAATCAATAAATTTGATTAAAGATTGAAGAAAAATCGGTCAATGATGCGCACTCATAGCTGTAGCTCTGAGCAGAAGGTCAACCTGACACCGATTTCTTACGCTTAACTGTTTGAACTTCTTATACACATTAATTAATCACAAGAAGAAATGTATATTACAACTAGTCACCATGCTATAGGACGAATGATCCGAGACAAAAAATTGTTCGTGACTTGTTCAGAGTCATTCCAGGGCTGGCGGTGCTGAGATTTGCACATAGTACCTTGTGTATACGTGTCGAGCAACATAGCAACTCAGCCATGGCAGTCAATCAATCCGAAGAGGCATAACATTTTTCAATTGAATTCTCGATGGAAATTAGTATTTATTACATGGATTACAACGTCAAGTAATTGACCGATCAGCTTAACAATCTGAATCTAAATCAGACGTAAAATATAAAATTGAAAATGAAGAAAGACATAAAAAAACTCGAAAGATTTTTAATAAAAGAATTTTTCAAAAAATACAACGATTTCATAGATTTAAGAAGAGATCGTTAAAGTTCATATTTACCTCAGCCTTTGAAAAATGTCCAACTTAAAACTGAAAATTAGGCATATTTTAATCTCAATATACTAATTAAAGTTCTAAATGTTGATGAATTTTTGAAGTACGTATTTAATATTAGAACAATTCTCTCTCATCACAGATCGTAACAGGCATATCTAAAGAATTATAAAAAGAAATCTTTGTTTCGTTTTCATACTCACCTATATAACGTAAAAAAAAGTATTTCTAGACAATACATTGAAAAACTTCTATTTTTCTATCATACCTGAATAATTTTATGATAGAAAATGTTAAATTTTTTTATTTTTTTTTTATTTAAAAGGTTGTTGCTTCTCGTTTTGCATGGGCAACACGAAATGTTCATATAGTAGCATTAAATGATTCAAAATATGTTGGTATGAGTCTTTATAATGTTGTTTTATTAAGTACAACAACAGCAGTTGTTGGTTATTTTTTACGTGATCAACATGAACGTTCATATATATTAACATCAATATTTATTTTACTTTGTGTAACAATAACATTATGTTTAGTATTTGTACCAAAAGTTCGTGAAGTAGCAAAAGATCCACGTTCAAGAGCAAAACCACAACGTCCTATTATATCGACTGTTAGAACAAAATCACCACAAATTAAAATTCAAGAAAAACATATTTTAACAAATTATAATCGACAATTTATTTCAAAAATAAAACAATTAACAGATCAAAATGATATATTAAAATCAAATGCAATTAAGGTTTGTTATTAATTTTCAATCATTTTTAAAGAATTTTATGTTTTCAAATACTATTAAAAACATAGAAAATTTAGTGTCCTACACGAGTACGACACGCTGGGAATTCATTCTAAACCGTAGAAGATATTATTGATATTCGACTAAACACTCCGAAGCCGGTCATTTTATACTCGGAACTTGGATATCTGTACCTGATTGGAACTAATCGATATTCAGCAGATACTTTCACAATTATAATACCGATTATAATTAAATTGATATAAACATTTTCTTAAATAGAAATGTTCGAGATTAGAATAATACATTTACTTTTCTTTTTTTTTTTTTTTCACATTTTAGTGTGATGAATTGATTAGTAAACTCTTATCAGCTTTAGAAGATACAAGTAGCAAACAACATCAATTTGAAATATTTATACGTATGAAAAATGATTCATTTGATTTATTAATATATATATATTTTATGACCTGTTTTAGCTTCATCAATGATATTGAATGATGATACAACCAATACACACGAATCTGAATGGTTATTTGAAAATGAAAATCAAATGAAAAACTAATAAATTGTTGTTTTTTTTTCCTCTTTTGTGAATCATATTTTTTTTTTCTGTATGACTAATCTGAATAAAATTGAAAAAAAAAAAACCTCAATCCTATAATCTGTATGAATAAGATATTTATTCTCACACTATCAACTACAAATGATTATTATTATTATTATCATTCTTTTTTTTTTATTCTATCAGCTCATTTTTTTTCTTAGTTATTTTTTTTTTTTTTTTTTCGTTAACGATTATTCATCTCTAATATTAGGTTGACGAATCGAGTTTTACATATTCTGTGACAAATAAAAAAAAAAAAAAAAAAAGCAGTAAAATGCAATTTTGCCAGGTATGCTAGCGAGACATAAAATAGAAGGATGTGGTTACTACGTGCATAATCATTGAGTAGAAAAGAACGAGAAAGAATAAAAAAAGAACGAAGTTGTAATATTTACTATTTATTAAACGAAACATAACAATTTGCTTTTTTTTACATTCATTTTTCAATGATAATGTATAGTTATTCGATTTTATTTGCTCTTCTTCTCTCATTATTCATATTAATTAATGGTCAAAAAAGTGATGATCGAGAATTACCTGCAGGTATATAATAATAATAATTTATTATATATCAAAAACAAATTTTTTATCTTTCTTCTCTACAGTATCATATACAGCTGGTCGAAGTTCAAAAACAATATTTGACACACAATTTTCTCGCGGTCGTTGTCCAGAACGATTTTATCAATTAGGTGAAGAATGTTTATATTTTTCTATTGATGGTAAAATTTATTCATGGCAAAATGCAGATCGTGTATGTGCACGACGTATAGGTGGTATTTTACAGCAACAATCAGCATCAAATCCTGATCAACCAAATATGCAACCAACTAGAGGTGTAAGACAATTAACATTAAATACTCCTGAAAAAACTGAAATATTACGAGCATTTTATCAACAATATAATGAACAAAATTTTGCTATTCGTCTTCCATATGATTATAATATATTACAACGATGTAATGATGGACAAGATGACAAATGGCCAACCTATTGTACAAATATACCGTATTCAAATGCAACATGTTTTGAAGCAATATCAAATAATGCAAATGATACGTGTTTACGAGAAGTTGATTGTAATCAAAGATATTTAAGACTTGCATGTGAATTTACGTTACCTGGTTTGTTTATAATAATAATAATAATAATAATAAAATGAAAATTTCGATATGTCTGTTTTTTTGTTAAGGAAGTCCTGAATTAATAGATTCACGATTTCGTCATTGTACAAAAATTCTTGGTCGTCATCGTCGTCGTTTACCAATGTGGGCATGGATTGCAATAGCTATTAGTAGTGCTATATTACTTTTAATTATTCTTGGTGGTATTATTGCATTCATATCGAAATCAAAAAATAAGGATTCAACACGAAAGAAAAAATTTTTACCTGAACCACCACCTCGTCGAGATGAAACAAGTAAAGATAATCTTTTTTTTTTTTAAATAGTTCTTTAAATTGTTTTGTTTTTTGGTTTAGTTGTTCGAGTTCCACCAATACGTGTAGATCCAGCTACTGAACCAGTAAGATTTGTCTTTTTTTTTTTAAATTTATAAGATTTTATTAAATTTTCTTATTTTAGATGCTTACTCAATCTGCTTCATCTAATACAGATTATTTACAACCTCGATCATTAACAATAGAAAACACTGCAAATGCTTAATTAAAAACTATTTATAACATGTATTTTTCCATCATATTTTTCACTTTTGTTTGTGCGTTTTTTTTTCTTTCTTCTTTCACTACCAAAATACATGAGGAAAAAACAAAAACTATTTGTAATTGTGAAAATTATTAATAGTTAATGAAGATTTAGAGAATGTTGGTTTTGTTGATAAAGTTTTATTGATTTTTCATTCAAATAAATATACATTAGATAGTTCTAAATAATGATAAAGGTTTTTTGTTTTGGTATTTATTTGAACACGTCTAGAATAAATCGATAGATGAGTCAACTAAATCTTTTGCAAAAAAAAGAAAATAATGTCATTCATTTTGATTGAACCTGTTTGTTTGATAAATTCTCCTTCAATCATAAAAGAATAACAAGTTAATTATTAACTTGCTCAATAAAATATATTAACTATAGAGAAAAAGACCCATTAGACAGAATTCGAGTCCGATATTCAAATGTTAACTTATCACGTTTTTTTTATAGATAAAAGAGAAATCCGAGTTTTAAAATGAAATATTCATAAAAATATGAATCTAATTTTTTCATAATATAAAACTAAAAATATCAATAAATATTTGAATTTTGAAAACAAAATAACTAAATTTAGCTTTTTCCTTCCAACCACACTTTGATGAATCATAATTATTATTTATTTTTGTTTTTTTATAAGATTAGTCATATTCTAAAAGCGTATAATGTCATATGCTTTTTATAGTAAATCACCATGTTAAAATTTTATAATTATAATTTTGTGATGAATCAACGAAGATGATTCAGTGTTAGAATTTAAACTCTCATTTTTGACTGACGATTAATTGTTAAATCCGAATGTGATTAAGAATAAAAACAAAAAAAGTATATTGTTGCTAATTGTACATCATTTTAGTTGTATGACTTCAAGACTCCAGAGCGGGTACAATTTTTCAAAGAAAAGAAAAGTCAAAAATTAAGATGATTTTTTTTTTGTTGAGTATTGTTAAAGAAATTTCTTTTAGCAAACTTTAGGTATAAACCTAACTGTTGATAAGGAATAAACTAAATTTTCAGATTTTCTGAACTAAAAGAATGTTGCATCTTTGATCTTTTAGTAGAAATATTGAATTGATTTTTGATTGAAAAGAAAAATGCTGCAAAAAATCAATGATGCATTTTATATTTTTCTTGTTTCCATTCGTTGTTTTCAGGAGATGTACTTTAGATAGTCTATCGATATCAGTAATTACAATAACAACAAATAACGTCAAAATTTAATTATTTTGTTTTGAAGATTGGAAAAAAAAAATATTAATTTTTAAACTATGATAAAAAAAAATAGTATTTACGAAGTTTATCAAAGCATCATTTTTTCAACAGACAGTTCAATTCTATATACCACTAAACTTATATATTTCAAGTAAATCTCGAATACATTTACAAAAAAAAATGGATTAAATACAGGTATATATAGAATGAAAAATACACCTAAGATAAAATTTTTTTGTTTTGTTTTTGTTCACATGTGAATATATTGATTTTAAAGAACTTCTAAGTCAACATGTCGTAAATATGGATGTTTTTTCTAAAATGAAAAATATTAATTTTAAATACAAATAAAAGAAAAAAAACTTTTTATCTAAATGAATAATTTATTATATTACTCGAAGATTTCGTTCAATACGATCAATTTCAGCTCCAACTCTATCAACAATATTTTCACCATGTTTAAGAAGAAATGCTTCAGCTAATTCGATTGAATCAACTTTTCGCACTTCCTAATAAGAAAAAAAACAAATCAAAATAATTTATTTATTTTTTTTATTCATTTTTGTTTTTAATTTACGTCAAGAATAGTTTGAATATCAATTTTTTCCAAATAGGATCGAGTTATTTCTCGTCCATCAATATCAACTTCAGCTTTAAACATAACGGATTGTGAACCCATATCAGTTGCTTTAATATCATATAAAGCACGAATCATTCGATCATTTTCTAAATCACTATTAATTGCTTCAATTTGACTTGGATGAATCGATCTTTCAAAAAACAAATTATAACGAAAAAATCATTTTCTAATTTTATTCATTTACCGGCCAACAAGTGCAGCTGTATTTGAATAAATAATAAATGAAGCAACACCACCTAAAATAGCGCCAATAATCAATGATCCAATAGCATCCGGAATAGGTGATTGAAGATAAAGTGAAAGACTCATTGCTGATGCAGCTACACATACACCTGCAACTGCTGCTAAATCTTCAAGTAAAACAACATTTACATTTGGTTTAGAACCTTGACCAACTATTATAATGAGAACAATTAATCAATAAAATAAAATATAATATTATCTATATACCATATTCCCAAAATTTTAATCCTGATTCTTTAGCTGATGCTCGAATTTCATTAATAGCCATATAAAGTGTTGCTGAAATGAGATATAAAAATATATTAAATCTAAACAAAATTAAAATAAACAAACCGCTTTCAGATATTAATGCACCACTCAATAAAGCTAAACCCTTTAAAAACAAACAGAATATTAATTATATTATATTTAGTCGCCCCCCCCCCCCCCCCCCATCCTCAACAATCGATCTTGGATCAAATACATTCAGACTATAGTAGAGAGACTATGTTAAAATAGCACTCGTAACAACTGCGAAATTCTCTGTAGGTCCTCTTTCTATATATTAAAACTTTTTTATTTGAAAGAGTATCTCAAAGTGCAGTAGGGGATACATCGGGTTATTACCATTTTTATATAATAATAAAAAAAGCTTGGTTAAAAACAACAGGTAGTTCTACATACTCTTTCAAATAAAAGAACAAACAATTGATTACAATGCAATTTCTTTGAGAATTCTGTTATGAATGATTAATTTTGACGTTAATAGGGTTTTTTGAGGTAGGGAAGAGGCTTAATCATTAAATTTAAATACCCAAAAAACAGATTCCATTTCTTGAGGATGTAATAAGACTAAAACACCATGATACCAAGCTAAACCTGTGCCAAAACAAAATATACCAACGCCACTTATAAGCGATGATATATAAGTCATATTAGAATAACCATAACTAAATATTAGATGTTTTTTTTTTTTTTTGAATTTCATATGATTTTTTTTTTTCATATAAAAATAAATTACGGATGTTCTGGATTTGGTTTTTTTATTGATTTCCATAAACCAAATGTTAAAATAAGTTGATTACATGTATCAGCAATTGAATGTACAGCTTCGGAAAATAATGATGCTGAACCAGTAAATAACCATCCAATTGTTTTTACTACAGCATTTGCTGCATTACTAAAAGTTTTTTTTTTTTTTTTTTTTTATTATTATTATTGAATAAATCTCATTGTGTTTTTAAATTCGAAAATCTTACATAATAACTGCAGCAACAACTACTTTTCCACCACCTGTTGTAAAAATAGTTTTTTTAGCCTAATAAAAATTAATAATTCATTATTTTTACGAAAGAATAAAATTAACATACTGAGTTTTGATTATCATATGAAGCATTTTCTAAAACTAGTAAGCGTTTTTGATATTCTTTTAATGATTTTTTTAAACTAAAAATAGCTAAAAAAAATAAAATAAATGTATCAAACAAACAAACAAACAAAAAAAGTTTAATGTAAAGAATTTATTTACCTTCATATTCTTTTTGTCGTGCTTTGGCTCGTTTAGCTTTTTCTTTATTTAACATTTCTGGACTACCCCATACTTCAAAAGCTCTTTAAAATAATAAGAAAAAAAAAAAACCAAAACTAATTCGAATTTATTAATTTTATCTTACCGTTTTTCAACATCACTTCGTCGATAAACAGTTAACATTTCACCAGCCTCAATAACTTCTGAATAAGGTGAACGTGTTTTATATTGTTTAAGTGTTTCCAAATCACTAAAATAAAATATATGATGTATCTATATAATATTCAAGAGAGACAAAAAAAAAAAAATAACCAATCTTACGATGGTTTTAATAAATATTCATGCATAGCTCGTACAGCTGTAATAAAATTATTTTCTGTATAACTTGCCGTATAATCAGTTAATTTTGATTTTCGTGTTCGAACTAGAATAAATCAATTTTGATAATTAATATTCTATTTTAAATTCATACCTTTTAATACGGATGGAACTGGTGGTTTAATCGGAACGATTTTATCAGATTTTATTGATTGACCACTATTATTTGATGATGGAGTAGAACCAGATTGTTTTCTTATTAATAATCCATCGATCTTTCGTTGCTGTAATAGATCACATTGATTAAATTTTATCGGGCTATTAAAAAACAAAAAAAAAGAAAGGGAAATTTAATTGTATTTATTTTATAGTTTACAAACTTACAGGCAAGAAATTGTACGAAGGATATTACGTTGTACAGCATATGTGACTATGGCATAGGTACGTTTTGCATAAATATTTGTTGATATTTGATGAGCTGTAAAGAAACATAAAATTAGTAATTTAGCAATAGTTTTATAACGTAGAAAAAAAAACAGACGATAAGAACTCTTTATTTCAGATCAACAATGAAAATATCATCATAGACAAAAGAAAAAATGTTAGCGAAATCCTAGCGAGATTAAAATGTCAATCACGATGTGGACTATCGTTGCTAATCATAAAGAGATTGTTTTATTCTATCTATTTTGGAAGATATTTCTTCACAATGCTTTTACTTAATCCTCCAAAAATGTAATAAGGAAATAGTAATAAGACGTTAGTGATATACCGTTGCGGATGGCCTCAAAATATACAGTAAACATGTTATTTGAATTTTCTAGAGCATGTTTCTAACTAGAACGGAGATATCAAAGCTTTAACATCCCTGACTTTTGAGTATTTCCTTGTTGTTCATGAAAAGATCCTCAAAAAATGAAATTTTCTTTTTTTGTTTTGAGTATCCAATCTTCATGAAATTTCCAGTGGAGGTATATTTCGAGTTAGACACCTTACAGTAAAAATTTCAGTTCGATGCATTACGTCTACGAAGTGTCAGCTTAAGATTATGAGTCAAAATTTAGATTTTCGTGCGTCCCAAATTTTTCTACCATTTCAAATGCTGGAAAGTTCGGACTGGTTTTAAAATGTAGTTAAGATGTGACGTTACAACTTAACAGGGCCCAAGTTTTCGATTTTCTCTTAGCTTGTGTTTTTATGAAAAACTCCTCTGATGAAATATGAAAAAACTCAAGGGGTACAGATCTGAAACAGTTAGGTTTTTTATAAATATTAATGAAGAAATCAAAAAATCTAGCTTTGTTAAGTTGTAGAGCTAATTTTTGCCTTCATTTTGACATCAAACCCAGCTTTCTAGCGTTTAAAATCTGAAATGCACGAAAATGTCAAAATCAAAGACCCTATTTTGAGAAAAAATGTTATTTTCTGTGTAAGATTCAGAAAAACTTATATAATCTCCTTAAATTTCATCATAAAATCAATAAACTATAGTGCATTCGAAAGTAGACACTTTGCTCTATCTAACGAGCTATAAATCACAAATTTAATTTCTTTTGAAAATCTACTTACTAGTTCTTAGTGTTGATCTTACACCATATTCAAATAAATTTTGAACCAACATTATTTATTCTACTCTACATACTCATTAATAATCCAAATAGATTATCTATAATATGTAACCATCTAAAAACAAGAAAAAAAAAAAGAAGTTTTTTATCTATTTTTATTGAATGTTTCTCTTTTATCAAAAATTAAATAAATGAAGATATATCGAAAGTACTTAACAAACATGAGATTAAAAATTTTTAAACTGTTTGTTACATACTAAAATCTTGAAAAGAAAAACAACAATGACAAAGAAAATATCACTGATAACATATGAATATGTTTATCAAAACATTTATACCATTGATCGACTTTCACATAATTTATCTGTAATCTATAAAAAAAAAAAAATAGAAAATTATTATATTTATAAAAGATAAATATCAACTTGTCGAAGACCAGGTAATAATAAAATTGAACCTATAATTGGTAAACGTTGAAGGAAGTTAATGGCAATTGGAATAAAGCCACTAAAAAAAAAATTAAATTTTTTTTTCTCTCTTAAACAACAAAAACTAAATAGACGAACCCGAATAAAAGAAAAAATCCATAAAATTCAATAATCATACCAGTTAATGGCCAACCGATTAGAACAAGTACAATTCCACCAAAGAATAAAGCAGTAGCTTTAATTTTAAAACTTTGAAAGAAAAAACGAAATGTTCGTTCAAGACCAATAATCATACAAAGACCACCAAGAAATAATATCTAAATTAATAATTTTTCTCAATATATAAATAATCAAATTGAATATTTACATTTCCAACAGCTAATAAACCTTTATCAAATAAAAATATCATACCAAGAAAAATGAAACCAACACCAAATATTGTCAAACCAAGACCAATCTCTTAAAATAATAAATTATTATTATTTTTTTCTTTTTGAAATAAAAATAAATATTTATTTACTCTGTAAATCTGACAATTGTATAGGCATTTTTTTTAAAATTTTTCTAATAAATATTGGTTAATTAATTGTTTATCAATAATTAACAAAGATAAGTCATCCTATTGAATATTAATTTCAAAGAATTGTAAAAAACATGTATAAGGAAATCAAAAATAGACTTTGACACGTCAAATAGATATGTCGACACGAAATACAAATCAATTGTGGTGTTGTGTCGAATATACATTTTGACTGTCTATTCCGTAGTTTATTATTATATATATATATAACTAAGGATTGTAATCGATAGATGGCATCTGTAGACGTCCTTTATTTAAACCAGCCAGTACCTATGTGATTACTATCGAGAAGCTACCGCCAGTATACCGATCAGTATAATGTGTGCTATACAGACAGTTTTTTTTTTGAAAGTGTTGTATCGTGATGTATTGTATCAAAATGGGTGAATATTTTTGAAGTCTGTTAAAACTGATAGAATTAAGTTGTTTTTGATACAGTTTGATTATGTTAATGCATCTAAGCTGCCTGTACTAGGCACAGTGTCCAAATGGATCTCAGTCACACCAGATAAATTTTTGTTATAGATGCTGTTATAAAAATTTCTATTAGTGAAATATATTCTGAAATTGTTTGCTTCTCGATTAATTTAAATTTCAGATCTATTTAAATACACTATTGCAAAATCAACTAATAATAAAATTTCTTGTTTTGTGAAAGATCAATGATCATCCAATATTTATGAACATATGGTAGCAGTTTATGGCGACTAAGACTTCATCATATGTCAGGGTATTTGAATGGCCTCGTCACTTTAAAGATGGACAATTAAACATTATTTGATGATTCTAGAAGGACCCGATTAATTACTGTAACGGATGAAATAACTTTTAAAGCTATGGGAAGTCTAGTTATTGAAGACTGTCGAAGAACAAGCCAGCAAATAGCAGAGATTCTAGACATTTCATCTAGCACCGTGCTTAGCATTTTGCATGATCAGTTACAAATGATGAAAGTCTGTTCAAGCATGTTCAGAACATTTGGCTCTCTATTCTACTAAAGGAAATGACTTTCTTTTTTGGAATTATAACTGGTGATAAATTGTGGATTCATTATTATGAACTTGAATCAAAACAACCATCATGACAGTAGAAATGAGCTGATTCACCACCACCAAAACTGAGAAAAGAAAAGTCTACTGACCAAGCTTTATATTCATTGGAGTAATTCTCCATGTCTCAGAATTAAAACAGCATTGCACCTAACCATTTAACGACGGACTTAGTCAAAAAAAAATATATATTAACGATCATAATTCCTCTTGTATAGTGTTACTAATGGTATCTATGTCAGATGATAATGCATATTGAAAAGGCCTATTTTATTGTATTTTGTCTTTGCCATCAAAAGTTTAATATATATTTCCATTAAAAAAAATGAACATTCAAGTATAATCATAGGAAACATAAGCATGACATTTTTTTTCTCTATTAGTAATATATGAATCAATTTGCAAAAAGAATAAGAATTTTCCTTTGTGATTTAACAATTCTCTTATCGTAAATTCGATGCAATTAATACTCATAATATATATAGTCTTATTTCCTTAGATGTCTGTTAATCCAGTTGTCTTGACGATTGCATATGCCATTTACAATATTCATAAGATATGTGAAAGATTGAGAATCTCATAGTAAATTTAATAAAAAAAGCTTGTCAAGGAAAATAGCATGCTTAAATATTGTCCTTCGAAATCATAATATTTGATCTTTTTGTGTACTCGATGATCTGCGTTATAGGTAAGCTTCTCAAAATTCTCTTTATCAGAAGTTTTAATCTTTACATAAAATATTAATTTATTGAATTCTTGAGTAAATATTTTTTATTATAACAAGTTAAGATATTTAACACAATGATTTTTTGTTTTTGATGTAAAATGAACTTAACATGTTGAATAATTTTTATATTTGAAATTTATAGTTTATATAAGAAAATATAAATACATTCTTCTATTATCATCTAAATAAAATAGAAAACAATGATTATATTTGGTATATATCTTGATAGATAAATTAAAAATATTTCTATTATCTCTTTGATATTTATTTAAAATGAACAAAAGATTTATATATAATAAAATTCAATCGACAAGAAAATAGATATGAAAAGAATTTATTTTTATGTTTGTTGTATGATATGTACAAATTCTTCATAACTTATTTTACCATCATGATCCATATCAACTTCATTTATAACTTCACGAATCTGATTTTTGCTAATATCACGATTTAATCGTTTTAAAATTTCATGTAATTCATCTGCAGTTACATAACCTATAAAATAGAGAATATTATAAAAATAAATATTTATATTAAAAAATATTTTTTTACCTGAACCATCTATATCAAAACATTTAAATACTCGTCGCATTTCATCATCAGTAAATTTTCGTTCATAAACATTTTTCATAACTTTAACAAATTCATCAAATTCAACTAAAAAAGAAAATTTTCAATTAATAAAAAATAAAAATTCGAATATTAAATTTACCTGAACCATTTCCATCTATATCCATTTCTTTCATTACTTTTCGAACTAAACTATCTGTTGGCTTAAAATTTAAAGCAATTAATACTTGTTCTAATTCTGATAATGATATAGTTCCACTTTTATCTCGATCAAATAGATCAAATGCATCACGTAAGTCTATAAATCCAACAAAAAAAAAAACAAGAATTTTTTTTATTTATTAATCTTTGATATAATAATTCATTGATTACCTTTCATTTGACGATTAGATAAATTTCCTTGATTTTTCTATAAAAATATAAAATAAAATTTTTTGTTTGCGAAATATTATTTCTAATTAGATGTACTCACCGACATTTGATTTGTTAAAGTATAACAAGATCTTTTTATATTCTTTATTCTTGTCTCGTTTGACAACCGTGTGAAGAATGAAAAAAAGCAGACAAAAAATGTTGAAACGACTTGTGTAGACATAAGTTAGGACGATAAATATTGTATGAGCAAAAAAAAAATATTTTTTTTTCTTTCTCGCATTGCAAATGGTTCTTTGACAAGTTGGTGTTAGATATAGATGAAGGTAAAATATCAATAAACGAATGTGCAAAAAAAATCTATGATAAAAGAATTTTATCACATCCTACGTTTAGATGACATAGAATTTCTAGCTTTCATGTTAGTTGCTGATTGATAGAATATATAAGAGGTTGTATATAACATGTTTGTATGTACATCATAGATTTTGTTAAATAGTATTTTTAAGTAACTATTAATAACATAATAGAGAATCATCAAATGTGTATGAAAGCTTCAAGTCTTTGGATTTGCATCTATACCAAAATAAGAACATCAAATCTACTGGTATACTATGAGCATTGTCAAAGACAGGCTATTACTATAGTTGTATCTTAGGGAGAAACAACGAAAAGATCTGAAATTTTCACATGAAATTATTCTCATTAAGGCCTATCTCTATATAAACTTTCCAGTGTGAAATTCAAAAATCAGTTTTCCTGAAATCTCTGAGGAAGACTACGGTATTAACTTAAAAAATATCGTAAAAATGCAGTATCTCTGCAAGAATAAGCTAAGAACTAAACTTAGAATCTTCATGATGCATATAGTCTTGACTAGACATCGGCGTGATCAATGTTTTTTGCTCACGATTACAGTCACGACTGTGATCGTGAGTCACGAAAATTCTAATGACTGTAATCGTGCAGTATTTTTTAGTCGCCCATGTGTTTATAGAGATTATGCAGACACAGTGTTGACTAAATAGTATTTCTATTGGCACCAATAATCAGATAATGACTGCTGGGTGTGATAAGAAAAGAAAGGAAATACGAGATCAGAACAATAATATCTTTCCGATTAGAGTGTTACAATTAATTTGAAGTAAATTCTTAAAAATCCAAAGAGAAGAACAATATATGCCAGATTCGGATTCACTTCAGTACTATTAATTTTCATAAAAATAACCAACATTCTGTTATTTTTCGTTCATACAAATCATTTAACTGCTACCAAGCACTTAATAATATATTCCCCATATGGAATAAGTAAGTACCGAATGCAAAAGTTTGGGTAAAGGTTTAACATTGAATGCTGTCGTTTTCAGTCATTTGATAAAACTATGAAGCAAAAGAAAGACTTTCAAGTTTAAATCTCTGATGAAGTTAAAAAAATAGTCGTAAGATGTTCAGCTGTGACTGATCGCGAGTCACGGCGATCACACCGATGTCTAGGAACCACACAAAAAAATTTGCCAGAGTCGAGACAACGGAAAAGAGAAGTTGCCGGGATCATTAGAAAACAAAATTACCGAAACAGGAAATAGATCAACTTTACCGAGGCTATGATCGGAACTAAGAACAACAAAAATTAGTTCTATACATCTCTAAATTGTATGTTTCCAATCAATTATTACAGTTTTCTTTGTTTTTAAGTCAAAAAAAGAAATTTATTTATCTAATTCTAAATCTTTCTTTTATAAATTTACAAGATAAATATTACTAAAAAATTTACAATAAATTATTTCAAGTACTTTTGTGCATATCCGACAAGAATGTCTAAAAAAAAATAAATCAAATAGATAATAATATTTTTCAAACTAAAGAAAAAAAGTTTTACTTTCAAATAGATCATAGGTATTTCTGGACATTGACTAAGTAATATATCAAGATTTACTGTTGATAGATCGACATTTTTCAAACGTTGTAAAATTAATTGTGCACTATATCATAGAAAAATATCGGTGAATTAAAATAAATAGAATGAAAAAAAAAAAAACAACTATTAACCTAATACTATTAAGTGATGAACATCGACGAAGTAACATTTTTTCATTCTAAAATTCTTATCAAAATGAATAAATGAAAATTTTAATTAAGAATTTTACCCATGATGGTGTCGGTGTCAAAACATATTTTAATGTAGAATCTTGTTGTACTAGTTGAGCTACATGATTAGCAAATTCTTCAAGACTACTAAATGATTTAATCTAATTAATTAAAATACAAAATTACAAAAAATAATTCTCGAATAAATATTTAAACAATTACTTGAATATCAATATTAGCTTCATGTTCTTGAATTTGTTTAGCTAATTGAGTGATTGGTGTAATATAAGTTGAAAGAATAAAATCAGGTATTGATCTATAAGAAAGAAAATTATTATCATAAGAATAATAATATTTAATCAAACATACCCACTAGTTAATATAGCTATATGAATACGACATGAATGAAGAGTCATTGATTGAATCTAATGATGAAATAAAAACATAGATTATTATTGATGTGTGCAACTTCGAAAACATTTTAAAGACGTTGCTTTATTAGAAATTTGAATATCTTAGTTATATTTTGATTCAAAGATTTGATTTTTCTTTTATTACTGATAAAACAATATTCATAAAGACAAAATGAAGATAAATTTGATGTACTATTAGGTTCAACAGCAGATAATAAATAAGTGTCATTATCAGAATCAAATTAATATAGAATTTGTAAGTTAATATTTTACGTTAATGCGATAAAAAGAACGAGAATAAGAAATACAAAATGCAATTTTTTTTCCACCATTTTCATTCGAATTTATATTTCTGCATATCAATTAGTATGGCTCTCTGCAGTCTATGTTCGATATTTGACACTCAAAAAAAACTGGAAACTTGAAAATTGAATGATCAAATTTGCACGGTAGAAAGACTTGGTCCTGTCCTGTGAATACTTCTAATAGGAAAGAATAATTCAAAAACAAAATGAGTTTTAGGAAATATTTTATTTTGAATAAATAAAAGAAAAATAAAATCTACAATTGATCGCTAGCAAATCTCAACACATTGTTATATATATCTCGATATAAGTTCAGAAACATTATTCTCCAAAGTTATAACTTGATTAGTTCATACTTTTTATATCGATCATATGACGACTGTGGCAAATCGATACATTATAACCTATCATATAATATTCTATCTGTGCAAAAATCGAAAACTGAGTTATATAGAGTAGTCTAAGCCTTGTTGCTAATGTCATTGATCGGCTGTTTTCCCATTGCCAAGGAACTCTAAGAAAGAAGTCAAGTGTCTGTTGTCCTCGATTGCTGGGCGAGGATTCATAACCAATGATCTTTGAGTCCAGTTACTAAGGTATGCAAAAGAGAATGGAGCCACAAAGCCTTCACTTAAAACTTATATATGTTTTGAAAAAATGAAAAAAAAATCATCTGATAAATCTCAATAGTATGATAACAATCGATTGTTTTCGTTAAAGAATTTTTTTCATACTTTATGTTGTACTAAATTAATATCAAGTTTGGTATTTAAATCAAAGATTAACATTGAAGTAATCGAATCAATTAAAATATCTGGTTGTTTATCGATTGGAATACTAAGTAAATGATAATCTCGTGTAATAATCGATATATCATGTCTAAAAAAAAAAATCTCCAAATAATTTGAACAAAAAAAAAAAAATCATTTTTATTTAATTCTTTCTTACCGACATTCAAGTGTTCGTAATAATTTAAAATTATCAACTAATGGTCGTGCTAAAATAATTGTCGGTAAAATTGATGGTTCATCCTTCATTATTGGAGAAGATGTTTTCTCAATAATTTCAATTAATTCTTCATCTAAATAATAATAATAATAAAAAAGTCTATTTAGAAAAAAAATTATTCTTTATCCTAAAAAAAAAAACCTGGTGCTATAAATGAAGGTAAAATAGTTTTATAAGCAAGATACGAAATAAATTGTTGTTGACAAAATCGATACCATTGTGGTATTTGTTCTCCATATTCATATTCAATAATTAATGTTAATCGTTTTGGTCGAGTTATTATTATTGATGATATTTGACGTGTACGAATAATAATCATATTATTATACATTAATCTATATATATATTTTTTTTTGTTTTGTTTATAATAAATAAACAAAGAATATATGTTATTAAAAATCTAAACAATAACTTACAAATCATTTAATTCATCTCGAGTAATATTAATCTGTTTATCATAAACATAAGAACGAAGTTCAATAATTGATGAAAGACCACGTTCAATATCATGCAATAGTTCAATTGATTCATATTGAACAAGAAGAAGAAACTATGATAGAGAATATTTTATTTTAATTAAAATAAAACTGTTAGCACAATCCCTACGGGATTAAAATGTCAAACATGATGTAGCTGCTGTTATTAATCACTGAGAAGGTGTGAGTCTGAAGAGTAGAGCACTACGTACACCTACAACCTTCTGGAGTGTATCAAAACAGAAAAGCAAACAGTTAATAGCATTACAAAATCTAATACACACCGTGTATAATAGATACAAACGATTGAAAAATCAAACTAAAATATACTTTTTTCACTACTCTCTAAGACTGAAAGAATAGTGAAAACCGATTTGACATTTGGAAACGTTCGCTTGTAAGATAAACAAGTCTTTTTATTTGTGGTTTACTCTTTCGTTTTCAATAGTAAACACTGAATTCACATTTATCTACTTAATTTTTAGCATTGTTACTTTCGGTCTTTTTATTTTCGACCTAAGTAGGAAAAACCAGTAGTTCATAAATTATAACAAGACGTTATTAATATCGTATATCAACAACGTCTATGATGAGTAGAGGGTATTAGCTCCAAAATTTTCAGATCTGCACTCAATGAAATACGGTTTCGAGACCAACCCAATGAACTCTAGTGATCAGCCGTTACTAATGTATCTGTCAGCGGGATCCAAATTTCTATCTCTATATTTTGACATTGCTTTTAGATTGTGTTTGACAAAAAAAACTTATTTTTGTTTTACTTTTGGTTCTGATATTTGTCTTATAGTACCAATTAATCGTCGTCTTTTATCAAAAAAATCAACAAACATTTGTTTAATATGTAAAATTTTTGGATGAAGAATATTTTCAAATTTTTGATGAGTTTTTGTTAATAAATCAAATAATGGTTTACCACATTCTTGATCTAGAAAATTTTTCAAAATTAAATAATATTTTTATTAAAATTTAATTCAAACAAACAAACCAATGCAAACATATTTCATATTTTGTACAATTATATTTTCAATATGATGTATAGCTGTTTGTAATGAACAATAAGCAAATATATAAAGAAATGATGTTATTGTATAAATAAACATTAAATATTTAAGTATATCACTACGATTTAAATTTTTAATAAAATATTTTTCATTTTCACAAATATTTTTTATTAATTGAAATGATATATTTGGTGATGTAAAATTATATTCTTTTGGCCAAATATTTTCTTGACATAAAATTTTATGATATGGTAATAAAAAATGAAGAAGTTCTTCATGAATTTGATTGAATTCATCTAATAACATATTGAAAGAAAGAAAGAAAGAAAAAAAAACAAAATTATCAAGAAAAATTTTGTAAGATAATAAATACCATTTTCAAGTCGAATTTCAATAATTGAAATATTCGATGATTCGGATGGTTTCAATTCGATTTCAGATAATGATATAGACTTTGATACGGAAACTACAAAAAAATATTCAAAAATAATGTTCACATTCATCATATAGTTTAAATGATTTTTTATTTAGCACCTCCTTTTTTTTTGCCGAAATTTTTTGATGATTTCTGTCATTACCTACTTCGAAAAAAAAGTAGGAAAAGCTTTTTCATTTTTTCTTTGTTTATACATTTTTTCGATCGTGCAATTTAGAAGTTTTTGAAACCTTCAACTTGTCACTCATTTTTTCCCATATAAAAAGTAAAAGAATTTAAAAGAAAAGACTTTGTAGTAGCAAATGAGCTATTTTTGACTCTTGTTTGATGAAACATTTCTGTCAAGTGTTATGGTATAGAGCTGAAAATTTTACTATAGCTCCAATATATTCTCCAAACTTCAGGTAATTTGAATGTATCTGGAGCGAAATTGGTTTTTTCAGGAAGAGAAAGTCTTTAGTGTTGGAATTAAATTTACTCAGAAAAATCTCCTATATCTCTTTAGTTCTTATCTAAACAACTATTAAATCTTATTGTAAATCGACAAAAATAAATGATATACTATGAAAGTACTGATAGTTCTGATCTTTTATTTTTTATTTTGAGACATGTCCGAATTTCATGAATTCTGAATTTATAAAATCCTTAAAAGTATAACTTCACTCACGGAACTCCAACACTGAAGTAATCCTAATTTATTAAAATTTAGATAACAGATCAATCCTTAGTATTTCAAACAAATGAAATTAACATCATCATGTTTTACTTACCCAACAATTGTAATGGTGTCTTACATCCAGAAATCTCATGAGAGATAACAAATGCATAGTACAATCCTTTCCGTGGGTATTTAAAAATGAGTATAACTGTAAAGGCAAATCCACATCCACATTCTTCCGAGAGTTCTATGAATGAAGCTGCACTTTTAAGAATTCCAGAAGTTTAAAACTCATGAAATCCGGCCACTGCTCTTCCAACAGTAAAACTAAGGTTTTTCAATATAACTAATGATCACTTTATTTTCTATTGTATTTAATAATGGAATATGGATAATAAATACTGATGTCATACTCGAATAGCATGAAGATAACTCTTTATATCAATTCCAAAAATTGATAGATTAATCTATCAGTTAGATAAATAATAAGTATATCATATGTCAATAAAAATAGTTGTGTTGATTTTTCTTTTATTTCAAATTATATAAATATTTTTTTTTTTCATTAAGATATTGTCTTTTGAATACCTTCTTTATCTGATATAGTTGTAGATTTTGTAATTTTACTATTTATTTTATTAGATAATGTTGGTTGTTGTATAGAAAATCGATCAATACGTTTTTGTTTATCATTATATATTCTTTGAATTTTTTCAAATAATTCAGGATTTGATTCTTTCATAAAATCCCATAATGTATCTTGATTTGTTTTATTATCTATTTGTATAATTGATGGTGAAGAAATTAATGTTGGTTGATTGTTTTTAGCTATATGTAAATCACTAAGAAAAGCTTCTTTCCAATTAATAGATTTTTCTGTTACAAATGAATCATTAGAATTTAATTCATTTGATGGTGATACAAGTGAATCAAAATCAAATTCAATATCAAATCTTGGTCGTATAGATGATGAACGTGGTAAAATTGGTGTTAAAGAATTTTCATCAATATTTGGAGCAAAACGAACACGTTTAATAGGTTTTTTTATTTCGATTTTCGAATTATCGATTGTTATATCATCATCAAATAATTGTTCATAATCAATATCATTATCATCTTCAATTGATATTATATCAAGAGATTGAATATTTGTATCACGAGCAGCAGCCTTTATTTTTTTATAAGAAAATAATTAATATTTGATTTTTAAAAAAAAATTCTACTTACTCGTTTAGCATAATCAATATTTAAAAACATAATCTAGAAAAATAAACAAACAAAGGTTTTAGCTTTTTTTTTTTTTTTCTTTATTTCATAATTATCAATAAAATAAAATAAATAAGTTTATTTAGTTCGAAAGAATTGTAATATCAAACTATTTGAATTATCAATAATATGTTTTGATGCAATAGCTTGCATTTTAGAATTAATTGATGAAAATGAATGGACCTAAAATAAAAAAAAAAAAGTAGATACAAAAGTTTATTAATTAAAAATAAAAACACAAGATTTTACAATATCTGCCGATGTAAAATATTCGAATATAAGTCGAATTATTTCAATGGGTAAATCGTTGAATGATGTCATTAGTTTTGTTTAAGACGAAAAAGAAAATTTTCAAAGTGATAATTTGTATATACAGTTTTCCTTTTCAAATATTCCGCATTTATTTTTAGCGACATCTATTGAAATAAAATATATGGTTGCAATGACTACTTAGAAAAAAAGAAATATTCTCATGGTTGATTAATAATCTGTTTAACAAAAAAAAAATTTTTTCTTTCATTTTTAGGATTAATAAATGGATCAATTTAAAACACTTTATTATGATTATTGTAAAACTTATAATGTTGAACCAAATGAAATAATTCTAGGAGAAATTCAAAAGTAATAATTTGATTTTAGAAAATAATAAAAAATTATTTTTTTTTTTTTTTCTAAAGGATTTCAAATGAAGATAATCAAACAAAAATTTTTAATTTATCTTCATTAAATATTCCTGAAGAACAATATACAGTATTAGGAAAATTATTTTCACATGATTCTTTATATACAAGTATTCATCTTAATGATTGTAATTTATCAAGTCAAGGTAGAAAATTTTTTGAAGTTATTTGTCTCTCTTAATTTGATTTATCCAAATAATAATGTCGAAAAATATGTTCTTATGATAGTTCTGATGTTTGAAATAACTAATGTAAAAAATGAAAATTTAAACAATTGATTACTGAAACGAAAATGATACTAACCAGCCAATTAGTAAAAGTATAATAAAATAAAAGTTTTTGTTGAAAATTTAGTTTTAACATATGAACTTCTTTGAATTAGTGTTTAATTGTCATACAATTAGGAGGAGAAAGCAGAGTAATTATCCCTTTCTAAATTTTTTCTTATATTCTGCTTGAAAATTTTCTATTTTGGATTGGTTTGATCATCAATATAGCTGAAATTTATTTAATAGGTATAACAAAATACTATGTGTACGGCAACAGCTCGCAATATCAAAAAAGAAAAATATTCGTTTCCATTGATTTGAAATTTCTTTACGAATTGATTGACATGAGAAATAGCGACAAAAGGAAAAGTGCTCACGATTGATAAAAAGATTAATAAAAGTTCTAGTGGAGAATTTACTTTTCTCAGAAAAGCTGATGAATGAATAGTTTTGTTGTAGTCTTGGAAATTTATCTCCCTTAATTTTTCTTCCTCCTAAGAAGAATCAAGCGAAAACTATGCATGAATATGAGTCTTCTCTTCAGTCACGTCACATCCTTGAATAGTAGCTTTTGTTCTCTGATATTTACTGTACAAACTAATGCATTTTGGAGATTTCAACAACGTCTTATACAAGCCTATGGGCACGAAAGAAAATCGAAGTTGCATTCGACTCTGACTTTGTTTCATGCTTGGATACCTCTATAAGGCATTGCTGTACAGCAAATAACAGAGAAGAAAGCCTACTATTGAAAAAAGTTCATATGTTAAAACTGAATTTTCTGCAAAAAATTTAGTTGATTACACGCAAGGCACGAACATCCACCTATTGAATCCTTTATCATCAACTACATAATCTGTATATACAATGTTCAGTGTGTGTCTGTATGTTTCTCTGTGCCGGATCAAAGCTTAAAGGTCAAAGATCAAGGGCTCAAAATGAAATAAGGCCATAAGAGACAGGCACTAAGGGCTACTATATTGGGGACTCATAGGTCCTCATGGGTTATTGTATGGAGATACTCATAGGACCTTAAGAGCTATTGTATGGAGGCATCCATAGGTCCTTAAGGGCTATCCTATGAAGGTACCCATAGGTCTTCATCAGCTATTATATGGGAGTACCCATAGACTCTAGAGGGGATAAGGCAGTAAGGAGATAAGGCTATATACACTATAGAAATATGTGTGATATAAGAGTATGAGGCCGTAGGGCTATCTATCTGTATACGTAATATCGAGCATCTGTATGCCAGTTAGCGGATGAAAAGTTAAACATCTGAGGTCATACGTTAAAGGAGAAAACAGTCGTGCAGTATGCACGGATTCTCGCTAGTAATTTATATTGCTTCGACGTTTGAATAAGTCAGCATATTTATCTTTCGACATTTTCTCCATACTAATTTTTCGACCTAAGTAGAATTAATCTTTTATATTTATTCGATGTTTTTCTTTTTTTTTTTTTTTGAAAAGCTTTACAAGCTTTTCTTCATGGACTTGTGACGAATACAACATGTAGAAAATTAGAATTGAAGGTGAATGATGAAAGATTGTCTTTTTATTTTTAATATTAAACACTTGTTTTATTCATCTAGGGAAATAGTATTCATGGAGCTGGTACAGAAGCATTAGCAAAAGTACTACGAAAAAATCAAACATTACAAAGGTGAGTTGAATATGCTTGACATCAGAATCTGATCATGCAAAAAAATATGTCATCTATAATGATTATTTTCCGTTGTTTTGAGTGATTAATAATATTTTTGTGTAGAATTGTAGAATAGACAATGATGAGTTCCAGTTCGTTACTTCTTTATAATCAAAATGTGAAAATAATCATGCGAAATTTTTTAATAATCATCATCGTTCAACACGTAACTATATGCCAATAATGAAATCTTTTATTTAAATTGTTTAATAATCCATCTGATATTTAAAAATTTTTATAAAATAAATGGTTTCGTCAATCGCTTGTCATCTATTTTTATCATACAGAAACATGATTTTTTACAACTGACATTACGAGAAATACGCGTGACAGCTAAAATAGTCACCATTCTGCTGACGATTTCCATCCTTTCAGTGCACAGCTCAGCACTTATCACTTCGTGAAAAATTATTATAAGAGATAACCTTTCTTTTTTGGTAAATTTTCCAAGCACTTAGGTTAAACAAACTATACGATCGTATTTCTGAGGTTTATGAACCATCAAAATGGAGTTGTATACGACACAAGACGATTGATTTACGCATATATACAAACTCCAAATTCTTTGTCATCTATATTTGTTACTATCATTATTTCATTTCCATAAAATCGAATAAAAGAAAAACTAATGATTGTCATACATTTCTTCATATTCTTAAAAAAAGAAAAAAGGAAGACTATCATCAGGAGATGAGAAAAATCGTCAAATATCGTAGTGTATTCCACCATCGAAACTGTATATTCTTTCAATTTATGATTTCTAAATATTATTTAGTTTACGACTTGAATGGAATCAAATCGGTTCTATGGATTCTCCAGCTTTTAGTAGTTTTTGTGATGCTCTTAGTGTTAATAAAAGTTTAATTGAACTCGATCTACGTAATAATGACATAAGTCATGTTGGTGGTTCTGAATTAGCAGCAGCATTAAAACGAAATGTAACATTACGTGTATTAGGTATATATTAAACAATATATATAATTATGAAAAAAAAAAAAAAAAAAAAAAAACTTTTGATATAATCTCATTTCAATAATAGATCTTCGTTGGAATAATATTGGATTAGTTGGTAGTCGAGCTTTATTAGCAGCATGTCAATCAAATTCAACTCTTAATGAATTAAATTTAACTGGTAATAATGCACCTGATGATATTATGGAAAATATTAGTAAGTAATCAATTTCTTTTTTTTTTTGATACTTCTTCAAAATACCAATTTATTCCAAAAAATTTAGATAATGCTTTAGCAAAAAATACTGAAAAACGTCAAATACATTTTGGACATTCACAAAATATGGCTATACTTGCAAGACAAGTACAAAATATACATACCGAAAAAGATCAACAAATAACAAGTGTACTTAAACGTGTATCATTACAAGAACAAGCAATGCTTAAAGCAAATAAGTAAATATATAAATATATTCTGTTTGTAAATAAAATTGAATTTTTTTTTTTTAAATTTTCTTAATAGATCTTTAGCTGAAAAAGTTAAAAAATTACAAGAAACAATAAATGATCAACAATTAGGATTTAATGCTATATCAGCAAAAAATGCATTACTTGAAGCAGATTTAACTGTAGCAACACAACAATATAATGATGCAGAAAATGAAATTAAAAAAATGAAAATTGAAAAAGATCATTTAATACATCAAATTCGACGAGAATATCAACAAGAAAAAGATGTAAAATTGCAAAAAAAAAAAAAATCAATCTTTATTGAAATAATTTTCTTTCGTATTCATTTAGGGATTATTGAATATTCAAGAAAAATTTCAACGAGATTTAAATGAAAATTTAGAAATACAACGACGTTTAAATGAAAAAGTTCATGATCTTGAACGAAAAAATGAAACATTACAAACAACAATTTATGAACTTCGAGAAACTGTAAATTATTATTGATTATATCAATTTTTTTTTTTTCGAATAATTATTTTTTAATAGATAACAATTAATGATCGTGATCATCATTTAAAAATTTCATCATTAGATGATGAAAATCAACGTTTAAAATTAAAACATAAAGAAAATTTAAAAGATTATGAATTATCAAGTACACGAAATATTCAACGTTTAAAAGAATCTTATGAAACAACACAACAAAATTTAAAAGAACAAATAACAAAACTTGAAACTATTCGAACAACACTTGAACGAGTATAAGAATATTCATGAACTTTTTTTTTTTTTATCTATTTGAATTAATTCTTTTTTCCTATATTCAAAAATAAGGAAGTAAATTCATTGAAATCAATTATTTCAACACAAAAATTAAATCATGAAGAAATTCTACAACATGAAAAATTTCGTTTAAAAAATGAAGGAGAAAAAAGACAACATGAACTTGAAGATCGTTTACGTTCATTAATAACAACAAAAGAACAACTTGAAGTAAAAAAAATTTTAAGTATATTTATGAAAATTTTTATTTTATTTATATTTTTATTTTTATAGTCTCATTATAATCAATTATTAATATCTAATAGAGATTTTCAACAAAAAATTAATTTTCAATCAGTTGAAATTGAAACATTAAAACGACAATTTGAATCAGTTCAAACGGTATATATATTTTTTTTTTTTTTGTTTCTTGATTGAATTAATAATTTCGATATATATTGATTTTTTTATAGGTAAATCTTAGAAAAGATACAGAAATTCTTGAAAATCGAGAAAAATTAAAAACTGAATATGAAAAAAAATTATATTTAATTCAAAAAGATATTGAAATGAATGAACAATTAAAAGATCGTATAAAACAATTAGAAAATACTTTAAAAAGTAAATTAAATTATTTCTATTTCCTGAAATCTTTTTTTTTGTTTTGTTTTATTTTTTTCTTATTCATAGATCAACATAATGATGGTCGAAATATAATGCGTAAACTTGAAACACGTATAACTGATTTACAAGCAATATTACATCAACGTGATCAAGAAATTAGTCGATTAAAACGTGATGAAGAAAAACGATTACAGTTTTTACGTACAGCAATGTTAGATTATATTGGTCGTGGAACAAAAACAAATTAGATTATTTTCTTTTTTTTTTTTTTTTTTTATATTGGATTAATTTGGCGCTTTTTTTCTTATGTTGTACGGCTAGTATGTATTTTTCATTTGTTTATTATTAGAATAAATACAATTGATTTGTAAAGTGTAAATAAATATTTAGTTAAGTCACTGTCTTACCAAGTAACTGATGACGAATTCGCCAGTAAGGCCCGTCGGGTCCTGGGATCGAGCTGTACTTCTAATTTCAACGAAATTTGTTTAGTCTGAGTCTGATAATAGCTTTGACGATGCTAGATACTATTTGTATTCCGCTACTAACACATCTTCCACATATCTCAGACAACCGGGACAAGAGTCCTCTAATTATGATCAAAATGAAATTTTCAGATTCGAGCCCGATCCAAAACTAACCCGCCTGAGCTTTACAACGTACTCATAAGCGAGTATTTACTAGAAAATGCGGCGATCTTAATATCTGAGTACGACAAATGAATGCTCACCTTGTACTAAACAGTGTTTTGTGAGTACACATAAATAGTTTTTGTTAAATTTTCTGATACTTGCAGATTTTGTTTAGTATTCTTGTACAATATTCGGTTCGTTTAAATATAAAATAAACAATACAGACTGAGATAAACACTATGCCAAATTAAGAGATAAGAAAGTAAAGTAATAGCAAAAAAAAACCTGTACTCGGAACAGTACAACATCACTCAAATGAAATGAAGAATAAACTAGTCAAAGAAATTGAAAAATGCTATAACAAATAAACAGATAATCTTACGAGGGAGATACCCGAAGTGATTAACCGCTTTTGAGTCGAGACTATGTGCATCATATAGTGTCTATTGAGCTATGAATATCCTAAAAAGAGTTCAGATCCATAGCTTATTATTGACAAGATACTGCATTTTTATGGTATTTTTTAATAGAATGCCGTGGTTCCTCCTCAGAAAAACTGATTTTCAAATTTCGATTCGAAACTTTGCACAGGTATAAGTCTTAATAAGAATAGTTTATGGTGAAAATTTCAAATCGAAATTTGAAAATAAATTTTCCTGAAGAGGAACCACGGCATTCTGTTAAAAACTACCATAAAAATGCAGTGCCTTGTCAGCAATAAGCTACTGACCCGAACTCTTTTTAGGATATTCATAGCTCAATAGACACTGTATGATGCACATAGTCTCGACTCAAAAGCGGTTAATCACTTCGGGTACCTTTTTCGTGAGTATATATATGTAACAAAAATAGATGCAAGTACTAATGAATAACTTCAAAAATATAGATGTAGGATGCAGGTTTAAAGGATTCAACGACATAAGTGGATTCATAGAAACATAGCTATATTGAGTTATGTGATGATAGATACAACATATTGACTACGTAGATATACGCATTCATGATGTTACAAGCAAGTATATGATGTACAAAAATAAACTGAACTGGAACGCAACTGAATTATGAAAATATATCGTTGGCGCTTATAGGCATTTGGGCATAAGTCCTGATTTCAAGTTGTTTGTCGTTGAAACGAACTGATAGTTGACAATCGAGCTTATATATTGAGGCATCCTCAATCATTCATATCTATTTTATTAGAATAAACGAATATATAATACAAGACGTAGAGAGTCTCATAGAAAAGAAAAATAGTAGATGGCTTAATCTGTTGATTCATTTGAACTTTGAGATGACTTAGCATCGCTTACCATTGATGAATTATTTTCTATTTGAATTATTCTTTTCTCATTAGAAATACGTTCTCGTGTTGTATACATTGAAAAAGTAAGTATAATTAATAATACTATACAACAACATCCACATATTAAAAAAGTTTTTTTTAATGACATTCCATGACTATCTCTTTCTTGTTCATACAATGCATTTTCTTCTTCATTTAAATCAAATGGATCCCATATTGATGTTGTTGTAAATATAACATTACGTCGAATACGTTTTTGATCGAAGAATAATTTTTCTAAAAAAAAAAAAAAAAAAAAAAAAAGAAAAGAAATGATTTCATTTCTTTTTTTTCTTTTACATTACAATGATTAACAATAGACCACCTACTGATCAAGAAATGTTAAAGCAACAAATTTTGTTTCAACTTACATAAAAAAGAAAACGAACGATTGACACATACGACATCAATTAAGATGCCAATATCAAATAAATCTAGTGAAGCTCGTATGACTAAAACAACAATTCGTCTAGATCCAACAGAAGTTCAAAGACAACAACAAGCTCAAAATATACAACGTACAACAATTATATCGAATAATAATGATCAATCTCAAATTGTTAACAATCAATTACAATCAACTGAATCTTATCCATATAAAACTAAAATATTTACTAATAAAGAAACATCTAAAATATCTGTATGATAAATAAAATAATTATTTATTTATTTATTTTTTTCTTCATTTCTTTATTTTTCTTTTGAGAATACATATTCAACTGTTGGAAGTCCTTCATTAGATCGTGATCCTTCATCATCAATCATTACTCGTGGTAGTCCACGTTTATTTCGTGTTAAACGAGTTTCTCGTGTTCCACAAACTTCACCCGTACCTGAAAAGTTTCTTGAAAAAGGAGTAACAACAAAAAGTGTTATTATTAAAGATACAATGAGTCGTGGAACAACACCTCCACCAATTTCTTTTTTCGATACTTTTCCTAAAAATCAAACTATATATTATCCAACATCATATGACATAAGAGATCAACAAGCTGTCTCGACTGTTCGTTATCAAACACCATCTCCATTAATTCATCCTACAACAACAATATCAGAAACTATTGTTCAACAACAACCTCAAACAAATACTTCAACAACAACAACAAAAACATCTACTAGAATTTTAGATGCAAAAACTTTACCAACACTTGATGGTGATGATTCTTTTATTGAAGAAACAAAAACAACAACAACAATTATTAGACCTATAGAAATTCCAATCGTACCAGCAGTAGTTACATCATCAATTACAACTATACCTCAAGTAGAAACAACAACAACAGCCGTTGTACCAGCTATTGGAACAACAACAGCAATTGTACCAGCTGTTGAAACAACAACAATTCGTGAAAGACCATCATATCGTATAAATCGACGTCGACATCGACCTATCCGAACAAATTCAACATATTCAACTTATACAACTAGTTCAACAGGTTCATATACAACAAGTTCTTATACAACAAATTCAACAATTACACCTCGACCTCATATTATTAAACAACATACTATTTTACCACCACGACCACCAATTCAAACAACAATTATTAATGATCCACCAACAACAATTGTACCTGAACGTCGTTTTATTCATCATGCTCGTCGTACACGTACTTATAGTGGTTATTATTCATCGGATCTTGATTTTGGAAAACGAAAAATTTATAAATCAGATTATAAATATCGTCATTATTATTATTGTAATTGGTGTAAAGGACGTTGTGATTTACCAAATAGTTCATGTAGTTGTTGTGAATGGTTTTATGGTTGTCCATTATGGGCATTAATATTACTTGGATTATTATTTCTTGCATTAATTATAACATTTTTTACTTTACTTGGTTTACAACCAACAATAAATTCAGCACGTCGAAGTCAAACAGCTGAAACACAAGTATTAAATCGTACAAATATAATTTATGGTTATTTAAGAAATTGTGGTTTTCAAACAAATATTCCGACAACATTAGTTTTATGTTCAAATACTGGAACAACATCAACATCACGTGTTGAATTATCATCATATTATATAACATCGAAAAATATAAAAAATTCATTTTCGAATAAATATTTAATTTTAGTTAATTTATTCTTACTTTTTTGTATATATAAATTAATGAAATTTTGAGATGAATTTTTCATTGAAAATAAAATATTTTTCATTTTATTTATTTGATGTTTGATTTATTTGTATACATAATAATAATAATAATCAATTAATATTGGCGCATTTGAAAGAAATCATTTTTTTTCTTTTAAGATGTCTACTACAAAACAAATTGGTCTTGTTGACCTTAATGATAATGATGTTGGACAAGAATTAATATTAATTATTATTATTACTAGTACATTTTTATTAGTATTTTTTTTCCTATGTGTAATTATTATATATTATTATTTAAGTAACAATACTGGAAATAAAGAATTATTTAGATTAGAACTTGATAATCAACGTCATATTAATAGAAAGATATCACATCTGTCAACATTACTTCATAATATAAGAGAAAAACTTGATGAACCATTTAATTTAAATAATTAAATGAATATGTTTTGAAACAATTAAATATTAGCTTTTAATTCAATAATAACAAGTTATAGAAAAAGAAAAGTTATATTATAGTTTTTTTGTCATTAAAAACTCTATTATTAATGATTGAAAGTATGTCAGAGTACATAATGACATGAAAATTGCCGGAAATGTTACATCACTTTTAATCTCATATTTTTGACATATAGAGAGACTAGAATAACAAAAATAGATTAATTTGGAAGCATACGTCTTGTCTGGAAAGAAACTGGCACTTATACCCTCACTAATTTTGTTTTTTTTTTGAACTTTTTTTGTTTTGGGTATTCTGAGGATATGAGATCAATAAACTAGAACTTAGACACCAGAAGGATTGTTCAATTTATAACTTCATAATGATTCACTGTTAAAAAAGTAAACTTTTTTTGTTATCAGTTCATTAAAATAACAAGAAAAAAAATGATTCTGATTATCAAAAATTGATTCTTTGATATGGGAAACAACGATAAAAAAATACATGGGAAACTACTTTTCATCGCACAATATATCTGATAAAAAAATTTCGTCTTACTTCCCTCCCCCCCCCCTCGCAGCTTTTTTACTTGTAAAATTTTAGACTGTATCTTTCCGACCGATAAATTTTAATAATCAAAATTCAAAAATATTAACTGGTTTTTTTGGACACTTTACGTGGAGACGACTCTGGTCTAAAAATAATGAATTCTTTTTTACTAATATTCAAAATGTTCAATGTCTGGTTGTGTTATCTCATATGATTCTCTATCACTCACAATCAAGAAATAGTTAAACAGAAGAAAAACTAATAGAGAGAATAACCCACGCGAAAAGCGCCACTTCTTTAACGACAGTTTTATTCGAATTTTATAATATATAAGTCTAATCATTTTAAGTATATTCTAAAATTTTCAGTTAAAACGATTACTTCTATTCTGAGATATATCCCAAGACTGAAATTTCCATGATATTCTATCAGATCAACTTTTAAATAAAATTTTAGGTTCAAAATTCTGATGAAATTCAAGTGAAAGCTGCTGAGATTCTGTAAATAAGATTAATTGATCCGACTCTTTTTTTTTATTTTTATTTTTATTTTATTCTAATTCAGATGTTCGGTGAAAAATGATAAATTACTTCAAACTGTTCTCTCATGCGTAACAAGACATATATCGATATTTTAAATATGAGACCGAACATCAATAATGTGAAAATAATAATCAAAAAAGTATTTTTGTATGCTTTTTCTATATAGGTGTAATCAAACCATGATTATATTTTTATGAGTAATAAAAATAAAAAGTCATGTCAAAGACATTTAGTTATAGATCCAATGACAGTCGAGTTTTCTTTTTCTTTTTTTAACCTTTAGTCTCTCAAAAGATGTTTTCATGCATACCTTGCCGTAAGTCGAAAATCCAATTAAGGAAGATCTATGAGGAGAAATTCTTTCAAGCTTCTTCTAATCGTACTAAGTTCTACTTATAAGTAAAATATTATTTCAATTGATAATTAATAGTTGAATATATATGCCTTTGTTAGTAATAGTAATTATAACAATCTATAGTCTAATTTTTAAGATAAAACTTGCTTTGACATATGTAATCCTATGAGCAATTCTCAATATGTGACAAATATTATTTTATTAAAAGAAGTCATGCATTCGGAAATTTCTATTAATATAAGTGATCCTTAAGAACACTTCAAGTTTGAAATGAAATATTTTTTCTTTTCTTTTCTTTTTTTCGAAACAAACATTTCCTTAAGTTTCGATTTTGTCATAAACAAACTCCTTGTTGATAAAAATAAGCATGCTTATTTATTATAAATACCATGAGAAAAAAAAGATAGAACGTTAATTTTTTTTTTTTCAAAATCGCTCGTGATCATTTTCCAATGCCAATATAGCTGGTTGTGATACTGTCGTTATTGGTGTTGTATTAACTACAATCTGTAAATTTTCCTCTCTATCCTCATTTTCATCAAATGCCAGATTTTTATACGTATTTTCTGGAATAATAAGTGGTTCTTCATCGGGAATAAAACGTGTACGAATAGCAAACCATAGTACACCTACATAACATAAAACTAATGCGACACCAGTAAGAACAACCATAACAATGATAGAACGTTGATCGGCTGAACTAAAACCATAACTTGTTTGACAATTATTGCATATAGCTGATATTGAAATACTGTTAACTGTTTGATTCATTGCACTTTGAATAATCAATTTCGATTTTGTTTTTTTTCGCATATTAACTGACAAAAAAACAAAATACCCGTGGCAAAATAATATGAACGCAAAAACAAGGTCTTCAACTCCATCCTCTTCTCATAAAATGTGTATAAATAATGATCAATATCTTAGCAATATGAATGGTAAGTAAAAAAGTGAAAGGGGAGAAGAAAAAAAAAGGAAGAAATAACGAGGACATTGATTATTCTTTTTTTTTTTTTTGCCAAAAGAAAAATAAAATTATTAGATGTCTTATCATCAAAACATTTAGAGAAAGAGAGAGTAAATGAGTTAGATATCTTGTTTTTTATTTTTCTTTGTAAAGGACTGTTTGTATTAATTTCACCATTCAATTATACTAAAAAAGAATAAAAAAAAAAAAAGAAAAATAATTATAAGAAATAATTTTACTTACTCTCTGTCACATTCTCAATTAATAATATGTCTCTAAAGGTCCATAACGAGTCTAAAAAGAAAAAAAAAATTATAATCTATTTAAAAAAAAATTTAATTTATTAAACTTTACATAATATGAACGTTGTCTTGGATAAATTAAACGATATTGTGCTTCATCATCATCATCATCATCATCATTGTCATCATTGTCATTTTCATTAGACATTTCTTCAGTACTCTCATCAATCGGTAAATCATCTTCTCTATCATATTGTTCTGATAATTCTACATTATCTAATGGATTATTAGATAATTCTAATAAAATAGGATAACTATCTGATTCATATTCATTGTTATCTTCAATTTCATCATCAAATGTTGGAACTAAACAAAAAAATAAAATAAAATAAATATAAATTATTTCAAAAACAATTAAATTATTTTTACTCGGAGTTTCATCATTATCAACAATCGTTGAATATAATGTTGGATATACTGATGATTCATAGAATGATGGTGCAAGAGCTGAACGAATATTTCGTTGATAGTCACTTGGATACCAATAGAGTGGACTATAATATAAAGAAAACAGAATAAAAAAAAACTTATCTTAAAATATTAAATAATATTAGAAATCTTTACGCAAATGAACGAGTCGGACGAGCATATTGATATCCTTCAATTAAATCAGCATATGGGTCATAAAACTAAAATAAAAAGAAAATATTTATTATAAAAATTTTATATTATCAAAAGAAGAAATATTAAAATGAAAAGACTCTATTTATGTTTCTCATCTATTATTTTGATATAGCTTATATTCAAATACTAGGATTAAATGAAAATTAGATACATTAATAGTCATACTTGTGCGTAGTAGTTTTTTCTTTCTCTAATAAATATATGAAATAAACTAACTATTCAAAGAATAAGTATAGTACTTTTTTGTTTCCGATTATATCATTCAAAACAATATGAACTCTATTATTTGTTACATTAAATGTAAACTAGAAAAAAAAAGAATTTTTTAGTAAATATTACAATACCGAATCAGTATCATAAAAATTATATGGTGATATAGCTCGTTTACGTCTTGTATTTAATTTAACATCACGACGTCGACGTACAATATCTGTTAATTCACTTGGAGTCATTGTAATATCAGAAAAAACTTTTGAATCATCTGTATCGACTGGTTCTAAAAAAAAAGAAACAAAAAAATAGGTATACATATATATATAATGCAAAAAAAAAAAAGAGACAAAAAGAATTAATCAAAATAAAACTAACTATCTGCATTGTCATGAATTTTAGCTATTGTTTCTTGTACTTTAGCATGTAATTTATGACCATTGTTATATTTCAAATAAGGTAATTGAGAAGAATCTAATTCATTATCTAAAAATTCATCCAATCCATCATCAATATAACGTTTCTTTTTCTTATCAGTTATTATTGGTGTTATTGTTGATGTTGATGAAGAACTTTGAGAAACGGTAATTGTTGGATTTGTTGTACTACTAGTTGAACTTGTTGTAGTTTCTACCGATTGAATAAATTGATGATGATGATGATGTTGTTGATTTGTAATATCTTTATTTTTTTTTAACAAATATGATTGAACAACTATAAACATTGAATAAATGTTTAATTAGATAATTATCAAAAAAAACAAAAAAAAGATTGAACTTACTTCCTTTAGTTTTTTCAATCGGAAACGATTGAACAATAATAGTAAAGATTACTAATAATAATCCATAAACTATGAAAGATATATGAGATGCCATCTGAAAAATATCTCGATTATATTTTTTGTTTTCTTCACGTTGATTATAATCGTTTCTGCAAAATTCAGAGATATAAAAAATGAGTTCTGAATAAAAAAAAGAAGAAATGTATATAGATATTTATTTATTTATGTCTACAGAATATAAGAGAGTAAAAATAGAGACTAGAGGGAAGAAAAGAAAAAAGGAGAGAACTATGTAGTGTTTGTTTCTGTCATTATCAAAGTAGAGTCAAACGACCATAAGTAGTTTTCTTTAGTATTACGTTCAACATCGTCGTTTTATTATCGTTCTTCTTAGTATTCATATAGAATAGGACATTTCTTTTTCTTCTTTTCTTTTTTCCTTTCCCTGTCGGTCTTTGAGGAAAAAAATTTTTTCAAGCAACTGACAGACCTAGTCTATATGTGAAGAATATAATCAAACTCTCAGTGAATGCATAGTTGAACGAATATATATATATATAGGCAATGTTTAATGGGGTTTTTCTTTTCTTTCTTTTATTCTTATTTCCAGTAAGACAAAAAAAAAAAAAAAGAAATGTTCATGCTCGTTTTTCTTCTCATCAGTATGATCATTACGCGACATAGATTGTCAAAAGAAATCTAGCGAATGTCTTTTTTCTTTCCTGGAAAAATGAGACAACAAGAGAAAAATCATATGCAATTCTATATATATATAATAATGTCCAGGGTGATGACATTGTTAGGAAATTATTTGACATATTGCATGAAATTTTTTGAATGCACTTAAACAAAGTTATTTGTTTATTTTGGTAGTGTTTTGCATATTCCATCTGTGTAGTTTATAGAAATAAAACAGAAAAAAAAAAGAAACGACCAAAAATCTTTTCAAAAATATATGTTATACATTCTTGTAAAGTTAAAATATTAATTTATGAATATATTTTTTTTATATTTTAACACGAAAGAAATATTTTTCAAATATGAAAAGATCTTAAGTCTGTATGTATTCATAATTTAATCATGAGTTTTGAAATTTAGTATCTAGACTATTACATGTATTAAGACAAAAAAAAAGGAGTTTCTTAAAATAGTATTCATTAAAATGCTTTTATTCACTATATAATAATTAAAAAAGAAAAAGAAATTTATTTTATAATTTTTCCCTCGATTTTATTAATGATATTTTTTTTTTTTCATATAACTTCAACAAATGTTGCGTATAGGTGAGAATGATGATAGTCAAAAAGAAAAAGGATATTTAATGAAGTCTTAAGTGGAAGTAGATGTAAACATAGGAGATGAATAAAAAAAAAAAAATGTCACTCAGTAGATTTTTTTCTAATAGTAGAATAATCTAATTTATTTATCTTAAACTAGAGCTGGATTTTATTTGCTATAGAAATGGTGTTCTTCCGGAGTTTGTAATTATTATATCACGTACTATGAAGAATAAATGTTTGCCTTGTCGGACTTTTAAATCGTCACTTTGGACGTGAAAATGTTTTTACAACACATCAATTTTCTAGATGGACATATAATGTTGTTGACTTTTTTGCTTTAGTTAAATCTAGTCTCAATATAAAGGAAAAAAAAAACATCATGAATCTTAGCATTCCATTGGGATGAAATGCTGTTTTTTTTAGTTCATTATAATCTAGAGAAATGAATTATGTCATGAGTTTAGTAAAATTTCTTTTTTTGGTATTAGAAAGCTTCTATTGTAATCTGATAATGAATATTAAATATAATATTAAATGACATGGTGAGAATTTATTTTTCATATTATATTCTCAAATGAAAGATAAAAGGCAAATTTCATTAAATTTTCTAGATATTTCAAATGATAATCTATCCGAATACTATAGTTTCGAGTGTTGTTCTAGATGATTTCTATTATTTTTTTGTTTCAGTAAATAAACATGTTCGGCATATTCTGAATGATTATAAAGTCTAAAATTATTGATTTGTAATGATGTTATTACACATAATAATCCAATCCATTCATTCATCCTGTTGTTTTGTTTTCAAATCTTATCGAGAGGATTAATCAATGCAAATAATGTCAATTAGTTGTTTAGTATATATATAAAAAATGACTGGTAGATTATTATAGATCAAAACAAAAGAATTCATGATTGCTTCGTTCTTAAGTATATTAGATCCAATTATAGATCTGTACAATGATGACTTTATGTCACGAAGATTTCTTTTTTTGTTTTTGTTTTGAATTTAGTCATGGTAACAAATGTTTTTTTTTTGAATTTTCATTACAATCAATGCTGATACATAGTATCAAATTGACTCTACTTAAAAAAATCATCATTTTAATTAATAACCTCTTATTTGCTTATCTATTTCTATAATACATATATCAAAAAAAAAAAAAACAAAAAACAAAAATACACTCTTACATCATGTAAATCAACGTACAAAGAAAGCAAATCTGAGAGAAGAACAAGAGAGTGAGAGAGAGAGAGAGAGAGAGAGAAAAAAAAAGCGAAGTATTGACTAGTAATGATAAACATAAATGTATATACAAATAGATCGCATCAGTTTAAATAAGTTCGACATTTACTTGTACCACAATGACAAGGAATTTTAACATCTTCTTCCGGAAAAGAATAATCATATGTTAATTCTGATCCACGAGATATATCCATTAATGCATAGATAACAATATGCTTAATACCACCTGATAAAACAGTTTTAGCAAAACAATTTGGCTAAAATAAAGAAACATTTTTTGTAAATTTTTGTTTTAAAAATTTTTTAATACTGACTTCACAATTATGATTAATAAATCGTGCTTTATTTCCACGATGCGTAGCATCAATAACATTCATTGAATCAACCGTAAACATATAACAACCAAAACCCTAATAAATATCATTGATATTTTTTTTTTTGTTGTTTTTTTTTTCTTACTTTTCCTTCATTTTCACGTTCACGTTTATCAGTAAGACATGGTCGAACAACTTCTCCTGTATATTCAATAATCATTTGTCCTTCAATTAAATCAACTAATGTAAATAAACCACAACCATGTATAGGTGATGAACCAACAAGTAAAGCACGTTCAGAAAAATAATGTAAATGATAAAGACGTAAACTAACAGATGCTTCTTCAAGAATAATTCGTCTGTAAAAAAAAAAACAAAATCAACAATTGAAATTTAATACTAAAACCTATTAGCGCAATTTCTAGAAGGATTAAAATGTGAAACATGATATAACTACTGGTGTTAATCACAAGAGGGTCATTATATTCTATCTATTTTGAAACACAATGTCTTGATCATCCGCGTATTACATCCTTCAGAAATGCAATACGAAAGTAGTTCATATTATACAATGAAACGTTATTCATATAAGACAATGAAAAAAAACAGTCTAACAACAACGTGTTTTTTTGTTTTTGATAAAAATAAACACTTAGGTCAAGCCCATTCTGAGAAGCTATTGTTTTTTTTTCGACAATGTCATATTAAATAGCACAAAATGAGAGATTGTCGCATTTCCTACGACCTTTCTTTTAAAGTTTATAGGATATCATAAAGAAAACGAAATTTATCGAAAAATTGACTAAAAAAACGGTTTCTGTGATATTTTTAACTTTTTAAGGAAAGATCATAGAAGCCAGTTTTTTAAAAATTTTACTATCATCTATGAAATCTTGGTATAGATATAAAATTTCACTGTCTATTAAAATCACTATCTGAATTTGAGCTAAGTACTTAAAAAAACAACAAACAAACACATTGTTGTTAAATTTTTCTTCATCAACTTACGATCTGTGATCGTATATGAACGTCTGCCATGAAGAAAGGAAAAGATTATTGCTAAGATATATGTCACAGTCTACGCGAAGGAGAATTCATATTTTTACTTCTATACTTCAATACTCCTTTGAGATCATCTTTCACAAAAAATTAATAATAAAAAGAAAAACAAATTTACCTTGCATATACAAGTGCATTATCAATTTCAAATGATTTAAGTGCATATTCAATTTTTCGACTTTGATTTAATAACCAACCAAATCTTTGACGTTCACGAGTTTTTCTTTCATATATATTTGATCTTGAACATGATGATAAAAGTTTTTTTTTATTAAAATTTTCTATTGAACATGAAGAATTATTATTATTATTATTAGAAATATTATTCGATAATGATGATGATGATGATGATGATAATGGTAATATAATTGTTCCAATTTGTTGTTGATTTGTATACATTTGATTAAGCATTATTTGAATAATTGGTTTAGTTAAACCAAATATTTTATGTCCATTTAATTCTTCATTTGTCATTGATAAATGTTGTAAATTCATATCATCACGACAATTACGTATTAAATTAATAATTGTTGACCATGCTGAATCTAAATCATCGGATATAATTTTATATCCTTCATCATTTGTTATTGTAAATTTTACACGAGAAAAATTTAATTTTAACCATTGTTTATATAATTCTATAAGATCATATGATGATATAGATTTATTTTTTTCAGAATTTTCTATTTGATGAGAATGATTTGTAGGTGATATTGGAGTAAAATCAATAAATGATGGTGAATTAACATAATCTGATAAATCTATTGAATATTCACTGTTTGTATGAAAACATTCAGAATTTGTTTTATCAATAATCTGTTCAATTAAAGAATTTAATACAATTGAAGATATATGAAAATCATCATCATTATTATTATTATTATCATCATCAATTGATCCATCTACTTGTGGAATACGTGTTGATTTTGAAAGTAAATTAGAAGTATTATCAGTTGTATGAACTAAAGGTATTGCACCATTGAATGATGAATAAGAATCTATAATAGGCAAATATATATATATATATATATATATTAAATTAAGAAATAAATCTTACGTTGAGAATCATCATAGGATTTTGATAATTGTATAGTTTCAGTTTGAGTAGATATACTTGAATGCCATTGAGATGTAAATGAAGATAATTGCGAAGAATTCATTGCTGATATTTGAGAATCTAAATAGTAAAATTTAT